CGAGTTTTTTTTTAACTCTTTTAGTGTAGTAATCATGGTAACATCAGAGATATTATTATAAATTATACCGTGAGGAAAATGAATGAGTAAATGCATGATTTTTTGCAACATTTTGTTTTGCGAAAAAAAAACTCATAGACGTGTTCCTGGGATCGAAATATACCACCCCTGAAAACATTTGCACTTATTTAAGACTCATCCTGTATATTGCTTTTATTTACTACCTGTCAAAGATTATATTTCGGTAGCGTATCGGATGTTTGTGTCAATAAATAATTATTATAACTTCTCCATTTTTATTATCTATACTAATATATAAAATCCTTAAGTGACTGACATACTGATTAATCACGATCCTGCTCAAACCACTCAACGTAAGAAGCTCAATTTTGGCATACAGGTTGATTCTAGGGTGTAGAGGTTCGATAAGAAGGGATTTTTCGAAATTCCAGTTCCAAGATGGTGAAACCACCCCTCAAATATTACAATATTTTTTTATTTAAAAACGGTCCAGTTTCCGAAAAAACGCTTAAACACGTATATTTTATTTGGTTTTTTACATATTTTAAGATTTTTTAAAAATGTATACAGGGTGTTTCGAAAAACCTGGTCATTGATTAATCACGATCCTGCTTAAAGCGCTTGACGTAAAAAGCTGATTTTTGGAAAACAGATTGACTTTAGGGTGTGGAGGTTTGATAAAAAGGGATTTTTCGAAAGTCGAATTCTAAGGGGGTGAAACTATCCCTCAAATATTAAAATATTTTTTATTTAAAAACCGGTGAATTTTTCGGAAAAACTCTTAAACACGTATATTTTATTTTGTTGTTTTACATATTTTAAGATTTTTTATAAACTTATACAGGGTGTATCATAAAATATGACCATTGAGTGATCACGATTCTGCTTAAACTGCTTGACGTTTAAAGCTGATTTTTGGCAAACGGATTGACTGTGGGGTATAGAGGTTCGATAAGGAGGGGTTTCTCGAATCTCAAATTCCAAGAGGGTGAAAACGCTCCTCAAATATTACAATATATGTTATTTAAAAAACGGTTAGTCTTTCGGGAAAACGCTTGGACAAGCATAATTTATTTGTTTTTTTTACATATTTTGAAATTTTTTAAAAAATCATAGAGGGTGTTTCAAAAAGTTGGGTAATTTCTTAACCACGACTCTACTTAAACTGCCTGACGTAAAAAGCTTATTTTTGGTAAACGGATTTTTCGAAAGTCAAATTCCAACGAGATGAAACTACCCCTCAAATATTACCAAGTTATATAATAGTATCGCCATATTGTTTTTTCTCATGCTGACATAAATGTGAGAAAATTTTATCCAGTTTGTATGTTAATGGAAATTCTTGCTTTGCTTTATCATTACCATTACAAATGATTAATTCGACGCGAACGAAGTCGCGGGTACACGCTAGTAATTATATATTTTAATAACTGCCAACATTTATTGACAACGTAAAATAAAACAACCAATTATTGAGTCTACTTTACATCATATTTTTACACATTTGGAATAAAATTAGACCGGCATCGGCACTCAGGGCCGCGGCGCCTGTGTGCGACATCTATGAAGCGCCTCTTTTTTGTTGTCATGATTCGCCATGACTATTTTTTATTTTTCAAATTTTGACGGGGATTTATTACATATGTAATATTTTGTAAAAAAAGCCAGAGTCCAAAATGTGGAAGAATTTGAACATAATTATACATATTATTTAGTAGGTACTTGATCCAAGTTGTTGAGCTCAGATATTTTTTAAAAAGTTTTAATTTCATAATTTAAGACATAATTTCTTCTCTTCACGCAAAATCTACGTTAATATTCAATGAACCATTTGCTAAAAGTTTCTAGTTCTTAATCGCTATGGATCATGGTCATCACTCAGTTTAAATAAAAAATTAAACTCGTCGATGTGATTATTCAACAAAATAAATCTTTCGTCTACGGAGGGGATAAAGCTTGATCCAATTTTATATATTGGAAACTACATTAATTTTAATTTTCGGATCATCTATAGTGTGGCCTTCGTGTTAATAATCAAACATCTTTGACGTTTTACGACGTCTTAAGGTTGTGGATCTGGAAGTTTCAAATTCAGCATCGACATCTAATTTTTCTGCAATTTTCATTTATAAAATTTGTCAAAATTTTTGTCGGTTCTAATTTCTATCAAAAACTTCTCTAATTTTGTGAAAGAATTTAAAGCTATTTATATTAATATCGTGTATATTTTGTTAATATTAGATGCCATACATTTAATGAAGAAATAAATGAAAAGTTACTACATATTTTTTCTGTTAAACATTTAGCGTCTTTTTTTTTGGTTTGGTTTGGTTTGGTTCGATTGACCATCTTGTATCGGATAATGGTTTTAAGATTCGATTTATGATACATTTTTTAATAAACCCCATCTTTTGGTAGAGGATGAAAAATATTTATATATTTCTTACATAATACAAAAAAATCCAGTCGTGTAATTGGTAATTGATGTTGGTAGCGTCGTTTATTATTAATTTTAAAATATGGCTCGCGCACGGAGGTAATTTAGAAAGCGTGGTGATTTAAATCCAACTATTTATTTGAAGACCATTGTTTTTACCGCGAATATTTAATCCATTATCAAAACGTTCCTGGTCCTTTAAATTTTTTATATCCAAATTAATGTTGTGTACTTCTTTTTTTCTTTTTTTTTCTAGTTTCTCTATTAAAATTGACAAATCTTATAATGATGCGAATTTATTCTACGTGTGAAATGAAAAGTTATTGAAGACAGGAGTACAATCCGGTATTAGGTATTGAAAGATATTTATTATTTCGAAATAAATTTAAAATCATATTTGGAATTTGGTTACTGGCTATATAATTTATTTCGCTTTGGATTTTAATAGTTAGTTTTGGATTTTTGTTATAAAAATAGTTTCAACAATAATTAGCTCTGGCATTTCATCCGGCGTAGTCCGTTTGAATTTGTATTCCGTTTGCAGATTTGTGATACAATATTGGGCGATACCTTAAAATTTTCATAATACCACACAGATTCCGAGAATCGATGGCCCTCTCTCGCAAATGCGTCTGAGGGAAGAAACAACCCCCTATATTTACCCCCTTATAAAATAATGTAAATTCGCTTAAAAATATGTGTTTCTAGTGTTTTTTAATGAATTTGGTCAACAAATGTTAGCATGCACAGGGTGTTTACAGTTAAATGGACCCCTCCTAATTAATAACTTTTCAATTTGACGTTTGGGAAAAAAGTGTTTAACATAAAAGTTTAATGTTTCATTTGTTTTTGTTAAAAAAATATTTTCACTTATATTCATTTTGGTTACACAGGCTTGAAAATTCATAAAACCAAAACTAAAACTTGATCAAAAAATAAAAACAAAATAAAAACTAAAATTATTTTAGAATTTTCAAATTTTGGCAGGGCGCCATTTTGTTTGGGAATGTGACAGTGATTTTAATTAATTTAATTTAAAATTTGGTCATATATTAAGAATGAAAAGATCTTTCAATTAAGATATTACTTAACCTTTTTTTATTTAGTTTTTTTCAAAATGGCGTCCAGTCCTATCTTTTTGACATTTAACATAAAAAATATGTCAAAAGATAGTCGCTTTGGTATTATATGTGTATGCAATATTTTAACTCGATATACAACATGGGTTTAAAAAATAAAAGAGGGGCTTCATTATTTATTTGTACAGTGTGTTTTACAGTTTATGACAAAATGCGCAAATATGCGCAAAAAAACTTTTTACAGCCTATAAGTTAATAATTATATAAGGGGGAAAAATATATTTATAATGGGAAATGAGCGGAACAGTAATAAAATCGATTTAAAACTACGTAAAATCGTGAAAAATAAATGCGAAAGTACATTCTCTATTTCTTTGCATAATTCTTTATCCAAAACCAAATAAAATGTACATATTTTTGCTTAAATATTAAATACAGTACGTCTGCTAGATCTGTGTCTATGAAAGGAATGCGGACAAAAAACATTTAAATAAACAGCAATATATTTTATACGTTGACTTGACGAGTACGTCACCGCAAATCGCTCCGCCCACTCATTTTATTGGCTACTTGCAAATTTGTCCAATTTTTATTGATAGGACGCGTCGTCTAATTTTTTACGAAACATCGTGAGAATATCGTTTCTCCTCTCACGGATACCCCGTACCTACAGAACGGACAGACGTACTGTACATACCTCCAGAATTATCATTCATGGTAAAAAACACTTTTCCAAAATTACAGGATACTAAAAACCGTAATAACAATTTAACACATTATGTTTAATGTTTATTAACACAATGGTATTCCAAGTGACAGTTTGTTTTGAAATTGTTGTCAAGTAACAAAACGACACTTTTTCAACTTTTTCTCATAGCCAACTTGTTTTTTGGCGTTTTGCCTGTACATTTGAAACATTTCTAACAGGGTAATTTGAAACTAGTTTTTATTACTTTTTGCCACATTTCGCCGAAAATCGACCAGCGTGCGGCGCCTGTGTGCGCCGCACATTTCGCACACATGGGCGGCTCGGCCCTGCCAGCACTGATAAACCGGAATTTAAGTCGGGCATTTTAGATCCCCGTCACGTTTGACCTAAGTTTTTTGATATGTTCCTTCCTTAATCTTATAATTCAAAGCTTTTATTAGTAAAATACCACTGACCAGTAGTGGTCTCCGTTGGATCAACAGTGGTATTTATAAAGAGTAACTTTTTATTTTGTAGAATTCTTCTAGTGGCGAAAACACCGAAGTGTTTTCAAAAAATTCTATGCAGTACAAAATTCTGTATTTCTAAGATAATGGGATAAAAGGTTAATAATTATGTCTATGATGGCTATATCAATGTACAGTCCTCAATTCATGCCATTAGTTTTAATTATTTCAAATTACCCGTTGAAAACTATAAAATAAACTAAACCAGTAATTTTCGTTTACTTTGTATTTTTTTCTTTGTTGTTTAACTTGTACCCGTTTTTTTTTTAGTCAATTAACGTAAAATCACAAAACATCCGTGTTTTTTTCAATTAATTTCATTTTTTTTAAATTCTAGTTATTTTTCAAGTCAAGATTTTACAAGTATTCCGTATTATGGTATGGTTAAACATTGTAGCAGGAGTAGGTGTACTGGCAGTTTTGATAATCCTGAATGTAGCATGGTCGCTTTATAAAAAAAGACACATTTTTAAATTTGCGAAAAATTTTAAGGGTTTTACGTTCTATCCACTATTTGGATACTATTGGCGACTTAGAAACGCAGGTTAGTACCCTTGTAGTACATGGTTATTGTTAACTCCTTTATACCGGATGGCAGGCTATGATAAGTGCTAGGGTTCAGAACCGGGGGAAATCCCCGGGTAGTCCTGGTTATTTGATGTCTCTAAAGAATCGGGAATCGAAATTATTAATTCCCGGTTTCTTCGGTACTTTTGGGACTCAATTTCAGGATAATAATAATTAAAAAAAAATGTTACAAGCGAAAATCCATTGATACTTTCTAGCGGTCGAAATCAAACTCTTCTAAACAAGCAGTGATGCTATCTTTTAATGTTCTTAGCTTTAAAGTTCATTTGAAATTCTTATAAAGTAAAGTAAAGATCTTAAGTTAACGTCTCCTTTTTGCTGCCAGGGCTAATCTGGACGGGGCCTACTTTGTTTACGCGGAATCCGAACCGCGGTCCTCGGCCATATCATGGTCAATGGCCTACCGACTTGGCAAGTGTCTAAATCAACTCTTATTTACGAGAAATCCGATCTCATCCGGCCTCGAACCGGCGCGAATGAGCGGTGTGTGTCAATAGATTTTAAACTTTTGCCTTTATTGGACAACAGCAAGATACAGAGTTTCGAACCGGTCACCAGTCCATCCTCTAGTATCCCCTTACGTCGCTTAACTTCGGTGTTCTAATGGAAACCGGTGTTTCGACGTAGCTGGGCCGTTGCCCTGAAATTCTTATAGGCTCGGTGCATTTCAGTTGATTTCAAAAAATTTCGACCGCTGCGCTGTATACGGCAGAAATAACAAATTTTCGGTTACAGTTCACCTTCATCGCATTAAAATAATATTGAAATCGTAACTTTGTTATAATATTTAAATATTTTAGTTTCTTGCTAGTGCAGTTATTGAAACTATATAAAACACTCAGGCTACAGTTGGGGTTGGAACCTTTTGTGTTACAACAGCAAAATAAAATAAAACAAAACACTAAATCACCACAATACACCAAACACTTTTGGTGTATTGTGGTACTGACATGATTAAAACTGGATTGCTTTGACAGTTTTAATCATCTGCTGATGATGCTAACAATGCTAACATGGTTCAAAACGCGCGTTCACGCGTGTTTGATCAAAAGCAAAAATGGATTCAAGCAGTTCGACGAAACAAGTGAGTAATCAAAGTGCTCGTTATCTAATCAAAAAAATTAAATAGACGTATACTATGAGAGAATAAACTATATTTGCAATATTAATGTATAGATTCTTTTTTTAATCAACTAGTGATTAAATGTTTTATGAACATCTTCTAAAATTATATAGATTTAAAAAAAAATCGTTATAGCAGAAATAGCCCCAATTATGACCCCACTAGCAAAACCAAGAGTAAAACTATGCTCGCTACCACAGTTGAACTCATCTAAAAAGTTTCTTTAGCTGGAGTAATAAATTATAATACAAGTTAGACCTTCTGAAGATATCAAAATATTTACTTTTTTATTTTTATTTTTAGAATTTTCACAAATTATATTGCTACTTTTAGAATAATTATATAATAAATTTGCCGTATACTCGCTATTTACACCCGTGTATTTGTACCGTATGATCGAAAAAAAACGGCGTCCAGTTGGCTTGGAAATGACGATCGCTGACATTCCCCATATAATTTTACGTATAAAATGACAGCGATGTTCATTTCATAGCCATCGCTGACGCCGTTTTTTTTCGATCATACGGTATATATCAGTTGTTTACGATATTCTCCGATTCTCCGACAGCACCGGTGGAGATTGCGCCAAGCCTAACAATTATTGAAGTTTTAATATATTATTTTATTATTTAGTATAATGTGTTGGCTAAATATATTAGTTATGTTTTTATAGGCATTTACTTTTAATTGAAAATGTAAGTTTTTTTTTGAAATTTTGTTAAGATGTCACAGGTTTATGTTGCTTGATGTAAATTTGATGTTACCTATATTTTTTTTCAAAGGAAGTAAGACCTTAAAACTCCATTAAAAAGTCGTTAAAAAGGACCTTTAAGTAAAAAGGGTAAAGCCTTATAGCGATGAAAATCTACTACCATGACTTCATAGCCATCGCTGACACCGTTTTTTTCGATCATACGGTAGTTTAAACAATTTTTCTTTTTTATGTTATAACGTTGACATTCATTTTATTAAGGAATTTATTCCATATTCTCATGCTTCTTATTTTTTAGATGTCTACGAGGCGATACGCACAGAAGCCAAGGAATTGGGACTACCATGCAACTTATGGTTAGGCCATAACTATATACATATTACAGACGATGCAGAAGTTGTAAGAGTTATACTTAACCATCCAGATAGTTTGAATAAAGCTTGTGTCTATGATCTAGTCAAGATAGTATTTCAAGATTGCCTTCTCCTTTACGATGGTAAGTCTGGGCGCACAGAGAAAGAGCCAAACAGTTTTAGTGAAAAACGTTCTATAAACAGCAATTTTACTTTTAGCTGAAGATTGGAAAGTGCGACGGAAGTTTTTCGCGAAAAGTTTTAGCCAGCCTTTTACAATAATAGCAATACAATATACTTTTACAATAATAGCAATGTGTTGCTAGATGTGCTACGCAATGGTTACGAGGATCTCTTCAGCGTGTTTGGTCGTTATACCTACGACACATTTTGCGGTAAATATTAACAAAATATTAAAGTTGGGAAAATCAGAACTCCACTGATATTCCTTCGTTAGGCCTTTTAATGCCAGGACTACACCAAAGGACTACCAAAAGTCAGCGAGCAGCACCCTCACTCGCCGAATTTGCCGGCATCACGGGTTTGCACAGTTTGGTGTAGTCCTGGCATTAAAAAAACTAACGAAGGAATATCAGTGGCGTTCTGGTTTTCAATCATTGCTTAGACTTGAAATCATTGGTTAGGCCTGATATTTCGACCATTTATAGTCTGTCCAACAGAAGAATTCATGGCACTGACAATTGTGCATTTTAATGACCACGTTGGTAAATTGTATTTTATGTAATTTTTTGAAGGTCGTCTGTCGAAATCTTTCCTGATTCGTTGGACAGACAATATATACAGGGTGATCCATCACCAATATATACAGGCTGATCCCATCAGTGCGAGGAAGATAAATACCGTCATTGTTGTCGAAGATATGAAAAAAGTTTTATACATATATTGCAAGGTTTATAAAGGGGCGTATCTTAAAAATATTTTGTTATATGTATACAGGGTGTTACATAAAAAGTTATGATAAAGTTTTAATATTTTTTTAAATTGCATCCCCCATTTTTCTGTAGATAATTGGATCCGGCATAAAATTCTGCATATACACTATTCTTATTTGAATCACTCTATGGTGTTGCCATTCAATTATTGATTTAATAAAACTTTGGTTAAAAATATTATTATTCGAAAAGTAGTAAAAAACTAGAGTGAATATAACTTTATTAACACTTGGCTATATTTTCCTAAACAACAAGGATAACAGAACAAATACGCGTAGAAAAATTTACAATATTCTATACAGAGCATTTTTAATGGCGGGCGTAACCAAAATCGGAATATTTAATATACTATATCTCATTTTTTCTTAAATGCGACATTCTGTATATTATTTTTTAGTATTAACGATTTCGCCAACAGTAAATTTTTATCAAAGTCACCTAATATATGATCTTTGCCTGATATTTTACCGTTGAAAATATGTAACGTAATACAGCAAATATCTGCAAAATGGCTAAAAGTTTAGGAACACTTTAAATACAAAAAATGTTTACCATTTAATTCTACGTCTGAGAGAAAAGTAATATACAGGGTGTTGCCTTTAAAAAAACTGAGATGCAACATTTTATATATTTCGATTTTGTGACGCCATAAAAATACCCTGTATAGGATACTGTAAATTTTTCTACACGAATTTATTCTGTTATCTTTCATGTTTAGGAAAACATAGCTAAGTATTAACCTTAAACAAGGGTATTAATAAAGTTATATTCACTCTAGTTTTTTACCACTTTTAGGATATAATGTTTTTAACCAAAGTTTTAGTAAAGAAAGAAATAAAATGACAACATCGCAGAGTGCTTAAAAAAAAATAGAGTACTATATGTAGAATTTTAAGCCAAATCCAATTATCTACAGAAAAATGGGGGTGCAATTTAAAAAAAAAATTAAAACTTTATCATAACTTTGTTGTGTGACACCCGGTATACAACAAAATATATCTAGGATATGCCCCTTCATAAACAATGCAACATCTGTGTAAAACATTTTTTCATATCTTTGACAACAACGTCCTTATGTAGTGCAACCTGGTTACTGGTTGGACTTTCTCGCATTAATGGGTCTCCCTGTATATACTTAAGAAACAATTAAATGTAAACGAAATTGTAGCATTTTGTTGAATTTAAAATTATATTGTTTTAGACATAATTGTCGGCAAGAGCTTCAACTTACAAATTGATCCCAGCAATAGACTGATAGAGGATATGGACGCGTAAGTAGAGAATATTGTATTTTTATAAGTAGGGATGTTACAGTTGAGGGTTGCCAACCTTTGGTGTTAAAACAGCAAAATAAAACACTAATTCACAGTTACTACAGTTATATTTTTTAATATCCTGAAATTATTGCACAGGGTGTTTTAAAGTTAAGGTAAAAAACAACCCTTCAATTAACCCTGTATAATAAGCCAAATACTAAAGTTTATGAAGAACTGAGTTTATGAATTAATTAGAGTCAATAGATTTATATACAGTTTGCTAAAAAAATCATGGAAACAGAGCTAAAAGTAGAAAAAATGTAAAACTTTAAATTTGACGAAAAAATTCTCCGTAGCGTTTTTTTGCATTTGAGTGTATTTTTCTTTCGTTTGTATAATACCGGGTGCGTCTGAAAAGTAGCTCATCCCCTATAACTTTTTTATATTTTCAGATAAAAAAAGGGATTTTGTATGTTAGTATATGACAGAAATTGGGATTGACTGACGTATTCAATTGTTTTCGGTCACTTCCTGTTTCACCGGAAATGACTACAACTTTTGATTTTTAAATGGCACCTTCGGTATTTTTTTACTTTATTCGATAGAGAATGACACTCTGAATAGAATGACATATTATATGACAACTTTTGACACTTTCGCTTTAAAAAAAATGTATTTTAAATTTCAATCTAGAGTGACACGACTGTGTTTAAAACACTAATTTTTAACCAACAAGCCTTTGAAAAATAGATTTGATCGAATGTTTTTCGTGTCTTGTCCTGGCCGGTTAAAAGATGCCGAAATCGTATTTTTAATCATAACTCAATTTTTTCAAATAGGATGAGGGTGGCTCATTAGCATATTGGGAAAAAGCATTTTTTACGAATCATTTGATACCACACACTTGGTATTTCGAGTCAAATTGTCGTTATGAACCGCATGTTACAATTTCAAATAAACCATATGCGATAATGAAAAAATACCGAGGGTCCCATTTAAAAATCAAAATTTATAGTCGTTTCCGGTGAAACAAGAAGTGACCGAAAATAATTGAATACGTCAATCAATCCAAATTTATATCATGTATATACTAACGTACCAAATTTCGTTTTTTTATCTGGAAAAATAAAGGAGTTATAGGGATGCTCACCCCTGTAGGTAACTTTTCACTTTTGAGACGCTACCGAGTGTTTATAAGACTAAGATACATATAAATTGATTTTCTCAGAAACAGTAAACCGTTTCGTCATTTCAATTTTGTTTTAAAATTGCCAAAGTGATAACACCAAAGTTTTTATAATCCTATTACAAACAGTTGCTATTATTATTAACAGGGTATAAAAAAGCGAACTGAATTTTAGAGCCCAGAAATATTTGGGAGAAAATAGTATGGCGGGAATTACGTTTGGTCTTCTATTTCAACTGAAGGCTCTTGTTACTAATGGATGGAGCACGTTTGCACTGATAAATAAATTAAGAAAACTTAGTTCCAGTGTACGTATTAAATATATAATTGAAACAATTAACTAATATGCATTTTAGATGACCGACTTTAGGAGAAAAGAACTGCAGAAGTATCCAGGTACTTACTTTATACACCGCGTCCCATATAAGAATGAACACTACAGGGATATCAAATATAATTATTAAAGTTGCGCTTTTTCTGTTCTCTTTCTGCGCTATTCTGTTTTTCTTTCTGGCTTGATTTTAAAAGAATATCGCAATACAAATTTCACATTCCCATTGCTATAAACCTTTCCTGCTCTACAAGTAACGTGATCATATTTTCAATCTGATTATGAGCGATTTTCGGGCAAATTTCTTCAACAAAGCCTTAAAAAATCTTTATATTCCGTCAACTTCATAAAAAATTTAAGGTCTTGTGAAAGATCACTAACTTTCGTCTATTTTACCTATTTTATAATTAGGAGAACACTAGCGTGTACCAGCGACTTCGTTCGCCCGTCGAATTAATCATTTGTAATTTTGGTAATGGTGATGATAAAGCAAAGCAAGAATTTCCATTAACATACGAACTGGATAAAATTTTCTCACATTTATGTCAGTGTGAGAAAAAACAATATGGCGATATTATTATATAACTTGGTAAGATTTGAGAGGTAGTTTCATCTCGTTGGAATTTGACTTTCGAAAAATCCGTTTGCCAAAAATAAGCTTTTTACGTCAAGCACTTTAAGCAGAATCGTGGTTAAGAAATTACCCAACATTTTGGAACACCCTGTATGATTTTTTTTAAAATTTCAAAAAACTAAAAATATATTTTTTTTTAATTATGCTTGTCCAAGCGTTTTCCCGAAAGACTAACCGTTTTTTAAATAACAAATATTGTAATATTTGAGGGGCGTTTTCACCCTCTTGGAATTTGAGATTCGAGAAATCCCTTCTTTTCGAACCTCTACACCCCACAGTCAATCCGTTTGCTAAAAATCAGCTTTAAACGTCAAGCAGTTTAAGCAGAATCGTAATTACTCAATGGTCATATTTTATGAAACACCCTGCATAAATTTATAAAAAATCTTAAAATATGTAAAACAACAAAATAAAATATACATGTTTAAGAGTTTTTCCGAAAAACTCACGGGTTTTTTAAATGAAAAAGATTTTAATATTTCAGGGATAGTTTCACCCCCTTAGAATTCGAGTTTCGAAAAATCCCTTCTTATCGAACCTCTACACCCTAAAGTCAATCTGTTTTCCAAAAATCAGCTTTTTACGTCAAGCGCTTTAAGCAGTATCGTGATTAATCAATGACAAGATTTTTCGAAACATCCTGTAAACATTTTAAAAAATCTTAAAATATCTAAAAAAACAAAATAAAGTATACGTGTTTAACTTGAACTTGACCGTTTTTTAAATAAAAAATATTGTAATATTTGAGGGGTGGTTTCACCCTCTTGGAACTGGAATTTCGAAAAATCCCTTCTTATCGAAATTCTACACCCTAGAATCAACATGTATGCCAAAATTGAGCTTCTTACGTTGAGTGGTTTGAGCAGGATCGTAATTAATCAGTATGTCAGTCACTTAAGGATTTTATATATTAGCACAAATTAACTACAACAGATGCGATAGAACACCGAATTACGCGTTCAGGTTTCTGTGACCTTCAGAAAGAGTTCATAGACAATCCGCAGCAATGTATAGTTTGGGTTATTATTTGTTTGGGTGAAAATAATCTGCACCAATATGTTATCGAGGCATATAATCTCACAGTAATTTAATAGATTGCTCGTCATATTATATCAGTTCGTAGGAGATTAGGAAAAAAAAGATATTTATAGTATAAAAAATTAATTTATTTAACAAAATTTAATTAAAGATGTGACAAAATAGTTATTATTTATATATAGTTTATAGCTAATTCTATAGTTTTCATTATATCAAACAGCCTCTGAATGTTTTCTTCAGTGCAAACCAAACCAAACCAAATCAAAATTTAATATAAATAATTTTTCCATTTCCAGTAAATAAAATGAACAAATTTTTCCACTTTCATGATCAAAGGCTTTTAAATGGGTAAATAATTTCGAGTTATCCAGAGATTCGGATTCTTTTGCAAATTTTAGACAAATATCACATTGATGTATTTGAAGACCCTTTTAATTGATGTAGTCAAACATAATTAAAGGCATTTTGAGTTGAAAACATTTCTCAGAGGCTGTTTGATATAATGAAAACTATAGAATTTGACCACCCATGTGAGAAATTTCCTCTTATTTACATCATTAAATGATTTATTAGATTGAAAATATTTGATGTATTAAAGTTTACAAATAAAGATTTATATAGTCGAAAAAAGTCCGATAGAACCAATAGAAAGGTACTATTTTGTCACATTTTTAATTAAATTTTGTTAAATAAATTAATTTTTTATACTATAAATATCTTTTTTTTCCTTATAAATAAACACATTTGTATCCCATTTTAAATAAGATATACAAATTACCAAAACTTAGAAATAACAGTTCAAAAGTTCAACAAAAATCCTACACCCGTTTTTAAAAAGAAACATATAACCACGCACTATGTCATTCCAGCAAGCGAATACGACACAGCATAGGTTTCCGGACTAAACGACTGGTGTATTTACACCACTCAATAGGCGTGTGGGATATGCCGAGCGGTTTCCGATGCAGTCGCTTTCTTTCGCATCTGTTATTGGTTATAGGTAATTTGTGATATTAGTATAGATTTTTAAAAACTTATTTTTGGTAATTTTTGGACACCGGTGTATTTAAATAAACTTTTTATTAAAAAAACAACACGATCAAAAATGCTGTGATAAATATTCGACAGCAGTGTTATAAAGTATGTTTCAAAAAATTAATTGCTTACAATAACTGCTTGAATCGAAAATAATTAATCATGAAGACGCAATGACCAACTAATTTATTAGATATGTTTTCCCCCGTTTAACTATTTATTTCTTCTCAACATCAAGAACTTTGGTTTAGTTATCGTATATTATGTGTAATAAAACGTGTTGATAGATAAAAGCAAGTTACTCCTTTATTTTAAATGGAACACCCAGTAGGTATATTTTTCCGGTGTTCAACAGGGAATTTATATATCTTCAAAATATTATTAAGGTTGCCTACCCCTCAGGCAAAAATTTTCCTAGATATTTTAATTTTTATGATTTTGCGTCAGTAGGTCTTTATTATTTGAAAAAATCTAGGTGGCTGTGTTATATACTTTTTGTTAATTTAACAAAAATTAAAAATTGTAGAGTAGAATACTCAACGATAATAAAAAGATACACGTTTAAAACATATTTTAATTATTACAGAATTAAAACTAAATATAAACCTATAATTATATGAAAAAATTAGTTAGATGAAATCAAATGCTCAAAATGCTTCCTTTCCTGTTAACTGCATAAAATGATTGTCTTTTCATTTTAAAATGCATATGTGGAGTTCTACCTCGAAATTATTTCTGGTACACCCTGTATAATAAAGAACTACAGGTTTAGAATATATTTTTAGCCTACCATACCAACTGGTATGGTAGGCTATTCAGATCGGCAAAAAAAAGTTTTTTTAATTTCACTCAAAATGAGTTATTTGGGTCATAAATGACCTACATACCAAATATTTTCATGTCTGTCTGTCCGTCTGTAACACGATAACTCAAAAACCGCTAAACCGATTTTAACCAAATTTGGCACAAAAATACTGTTGCACCCGAGAATCTGGCCATTAGTTTTTGGTGGGGGTGGGGGGTTGGTAAGGGGGCATGAGAGGGGGTTAAAAGTTTAAAAAAATCCTAACTCCAAAATTACAGTAGCTAGCGAAACGCGGTTTTCAATTTAAGATTAGGAATAATATTTGCAATAATTATATATAATAATATTGCATGTTGATGCTTAAATGTATCTATTAATGTTTTGTTAAATGTTAAAATCTTTCGAATTGCGGACCTTTTTACAGCAACATTGCTTTAAACTGAGACATCCTTAATTAAATACCATTAAAGTGAAATAATAGATGTAGGAAAAACAATAAATACTCCTACTACATATTTTAACAATTTTTATTGTGCAAAACTGCCACAAACCTTCATATTGTCTTCTTTTTGGATAAAGATCCTTCAGCCCTTAAATCGACGAAATTTAATTGTTACATCCTTTATCAATTCTGGCAACACTGCGTATATCCATCTCTGTATTGCCTCATCTGTTCTTATGGAAATATATTCTTTATTATACATTTATGTATATTAATGTATAATAATCCATAATATTTACAATTATTATGGATTATTATACATTAATATACATCTTTATTATACATTATACTGTATTTGAGAAGTCATATGCTTTTAAAATACGAAATAAAGAAATCCAGGTTGTTATTTCGAAAAAATAAAGTTGATGATGACATCTCGGAAACGAAACGTCAGATTGAAAATCTATTAACATCAACTAGTCGAGAAGGAAAAGTAGCAATGGGAATGTGAAATTTGTGAGGTTATATCTGTGCAAAATCGGGGTAAGAAAAAAATAAGATTAAAATCGTTGTAGGGTTCAACAGGGTGCAACTTTTCTCTAATTTAATCATCTTTCTACGAGATCTCTGTGGTGAGCATCATTATATGGGACACCGTATACATATATAATATAACAAAGAAGTCTTTTTGACACAAATTTCAGTGTCTAGTGAATTTGCTATAAAATTCTTATTGCAAAAATGCCGTAATGTGATAATCTATAGTCCGTTCAACGAGTCGGAAAAAATTGTGACAGACGACTATATATGTATATTTATTTGATATAGTTTTAGTCACGTGATTAAGCTTGACCGGCACATGTTTTCTTTCAGTCAAAATATTTTAGAAAACAAAAATAAATTATTATAAATACCGGGTGCGTCTCCAATAACTTTTTTATTTTTTCAGATAAAAAAACGAGATTTGGTACGTTAGTATATGACATAAATTGGTATTGATTGACATATTCAATTGATTTTTTGTCACTTCCGGTTTCACCGGAAATGACTACAACTTTTGATTTTTAAATGGCACCCTCGGTACTTTTTTACTTTATTCGATTGAAAATGAATCGAATGACATATAATATATCAACTTTTGACATATTCGCTCAAAAACAAATTTTATTTTAAATTTCAATGTAGAGTGCCATGACTGTGTTAAAAACACTAATTTTTAATCAAGGAAACTTGGAAAAATAGATTTGATTTGTCTAATGTTTTTAGTGTCTTGTCCTGGCCGGTTAAAAGATGCCCAAATCGTATTTTTAATCATATCTCAATTTTTTCAAATGGAACGAGGGTGGCTCATTAGCATATTTTAAAAATGCATTTTTTTACGAATAATTTGATACCACACACTTGGTATTTCGAGTCAAATTGTCGTTATGATCCGCATGTTACAATTTCAAATAAACCATATGCGAAAATGTCAAAAGTTGACGTATGATATGTCATTCGATTCAGAGTGTCATTTTCTGTCGAATAAAGTAAAAAAATACCGAGGGTGTTATTTAAAAATCAAAAGTTGTAGTCATTTCGGGTGAAACCGGAAGTGACAGAAATCAATTGAATACGTCAATCAATCCCAATTTATGTCATATTCTAACATACCAAATCTCGTTGTTTTATCTGAAAAAATAAAAAAGTTATAGGGGATGAGCCACTTTTGAGACGCACCCGGTATATGAACAGTTATTATTTACATTAACAAAACTCACCTTTTTAACAGCACTGGGCCATTACTACCGCTTTCCCGTTCAAAATATTCTAATAAAGTTGCGATGGGTTTTTTGCAATCTTGTACCCACTTCGCACTAAAAGAAGCTCTAAAAAGAACAATGTTCGACTGCAAGGGCTGCTAAAATTTTTAAGCTTAAAGTATCACAACGCACAATTTAATTACATCAAAAACTCAACAAAAAAATAAAATAAATGTGACAGAAATAAACAAATAAATGTGACAATTTGATATTTTTTACAGCAGAGCTACCACCTGAAACCCCATCGGGAAATTTAAATTCCAGTTAGTCAGACCGTCGCCGAATATATCCATGGTTAGCCCAACAATGAATTTAAAAAACGCTCCCTCGATTACGTAACTAAAAGTTTAATTGGGGTATCGAATATACTTTTGTGTGTGCTGTTGAATTATAATCAATTTTTAGAATACATTTTCTTTCTACAAATTCTTTCAAAATTGTAAGAGAAAAAATGATTGAAGTGATAATTGAAAGTATTTTCTTCTCTCCAATAGTAATCACACTAGAACATTGCTTACTTTTTATATACAGGACGAGTCAAAACGTTATAAAAATACAATGTTTTGATCCGCTTTTATTTTATAAATAAAATGCCTTGTAAGTATTTTATATCATAAATGAACACATTTTTTATCCTACAGTTTTATGTTTTGTTAAGCACCTTGTATATCCAAACTCGATAGTAAAGTTATTGAGTATTTTTTGCTAATAAAACACATGATTTGTTTTTTACTTTTTAACTATAATACTTAATGAATACTTACTAATTAAACAACAAGCGTTCCTTCGTTTAAAAAAAATTATCTACGAAAATTGAGCATTAGTGATAACAATGTTTTAATTAATTAATGAACTTTTAATTCTCAAGTTAATAATTATAACGAGTCATTGTGTTTACTCAAAATTAGCTATGGGAACTATCGAATGAATTAGACTATCGAATGGTTAATGAATGAATGATTTCAACTATCGAATGGTTTTATTCGAATAAAATCATTCATTCATTTGTATAGTAAAGCATATGTGACAACCTCGCCGTGCGACTAAATGGTTATCGTTGAGCCACGACTATCGAATGCTTTTGATAAATGAAATTTAGTATTCGTTTGATTTTTGTATGCGTCAGTGCATTATTAGTTCTTCCAAATTTAGTATAATTATTAGTATCTTCCAATATAGCATTATTAGTATCTTCCAAATTTTTATAACTTCGCCGTATAAATACTGTGCTATTTTTGCGTTTATTAAAATAGTTAAAATACTAAAATAGTAGTTATTTTTTAATTTTATTTATTGACGATTGTGTGCATGTGCAGGTGGTCAAAATTTTTCCGAAAATTTGTGTGGTTTTCCGTAGTCCGATCTTTCAATTATTTAATTTTATATGGTATATGGTCTATTTTTTAATAGGAAATTTTGAGAAGTAGCAATTTTTAAGAGAGATGAGATGAACTTACAATTAATTTTAAAAATACATATTTGTATTTTAGATGTTTTAATAATATGAATTAGTTGAACTTAATAATCATATTTAAGTAATGTGGTTAAGTAAATGGGGTTATCGAACTCAAACTGTGGGGTGAGAAAATTAAAATGAAAGTTTTACACGTGCCAATTAAAAAAAAAAGTTAACGATGTTTGTATTTTGTTTATGCTAATTCTCTTACATGTAGTTTTTTGCGAAGAAATATTTCATTTATTTTTTAAAGTAAATGCCAGTAAAAGTAAATATAATTTTTAAATAGTAATATAAAGCACCTAATATAAATAATTTTGATTTCTAATTTTTTATTTATATTTTCGTTCCATTACACTGCATGCTTAGAAAATTAATAAATGTTTATATTTCATGATTTTAAAATTTGTTGTTAATATAACAAATTAGTTCTGTAATTATTATTATTTAATTGTTGCCAAACGTTGCCAAAAAATTTAGAGACTATTATTTTTAAATAGGATCTAATATAAATAATTTTGACATCTAATTTGTTGTTTATATTTTGCTACTACTTAAAAAATATTTATATTAAATCATTTTAAATTTTGTTGTTAATAGGTATAACAAATTATTATTGTTATTATTATTTATTAAACCAGTCTTTGCTTAAAAACATTAAAAATAATTTTCTTATAACAAGTATTATTGCAGTGTAACAACAGAATATTAATAAAAAAAATGCAGAATATATAGACATACTATCCCTAACTAAAGCCAAACAATAATATTCTTTGCTAATATCAACTAATACCAAAATATGGCAACAGCGCCCTTCATAATGTATTTTCTGTGTAAATACTAGCACCTCAATAAAAAAAATAATGTGTCCTTATCTATATCTGACTCCGCAAAAAATCAAAGATGCCGGCTTCTTTCATAGCATTGCCACCGACCGCTGTCGGGTTTCTTGGAAAGAAACCTACGTCGCCGGGCTACAACTAAAATTCAGTTAATATTTTATTATAATCGATCTCTACGAATAAATGAATTTCATAAATGAATGAATTTTATAAATGAATGGTTTTTGCTGCCGAATTACTAGAATACAATATTTCAAGGCAGATGACGCATCTATTCGATAATTTTTATTCGAATAGTTTTCAACGAATGTTTTTTACTAACTATCGAATTATTCGAATGAATTGCAACTATCGAATGTTTCGATAGTATTCATTCGATAGTTCCCACTACTACTCAAAACTCAAAATACCTATAAATAAAATAGCTTTAAAAGCCCAAAAAAGGTTCATGGCTTGATTGGTTATATTTCTCTACTTATAAAATCCATGCGGGAAAAGAATTTGAGCCATTCTTTCTCTCAATATGCTCCAGCCATCTCAGTCTTTGTGATCGTCGAAATTTGACTAGGGAGTAAGCTGTGTTGGAGACTTGGTAATTAGCAAAGATATTAAATTAATATCTTTGGTAATTAAGTACTTATGTTAAATTATTTTTTTAGCGAGATAGCAATTTCTAAAATAAGAAATTAAAGAAATATACCGGGTGCGTCTCAAAAGTGGCTCACCCCTATAACTTTTTTATTTCTTCAAATAAAAAAAAACGAGATTTGGTATATGACATAAATTACGATTGTTTGACTTATTAAATTGTTTTTGGTCACTTCCTGTTTCACCGGAAATGACTAAAACTTTTGATTTTTAAATGGCACCCTCAGTATTTTTTTACTTTATTCGATAGAAAATGACATTCTGAATAGAATGACATATCATATGTCAACTTTTGACCTTCTCGCTTAATAAAAAATTATATTTAAAATTCAATCTAGAGTGCCATGGCTATGTTAAAAACACTAATTCTTAATCAAGGAGCCTTGGAAAAATAGATGTGATCTTTTAATGTCTTTAGTGTCTTGTCCAGGCCAGTTTGAAAATGCCCAAATCGTTTTTTTAATCATATCTCAATTTTTTCAAATGGAACGAGAGTGGCTCATTAGCATATTTGGAAAAAACATTTTTTTACCAATAATAAATTGATACCACACGCATGGTATTTCGAGTCAAATTTTCGTTACGAACCGCAAGTTATAATTTCAAATACACCATATGCGACAATGTCAAAGTTGACATATGTTATATCATTCTATTCAGAGTGTTAAATTCTTACGAATAAAGTAAAAAATACGGTCATTTCCGAGTCGATAGTCATTTCCGGTGAAACAGGAAGTGACCGAAAACAATTATATATGTCAATCAATCCTAATTTATGTCACATACTAACATACCAAATCTCGGTTTTTTAATTAAAAAAATAAAAAAGTTATAGGGGTGAGCCACTTTTGAGACGCACCCGGTTTATAATAAACCTGATTTTAGTTGTAGGATCCCAGTTATCGTTTCTGGATGCAATGATAAGCCGAGGTGACCTTTTTCATCCAAGCATTATGTCCAAAGAATTACTGGTTTTTGCATTAGCCGTAAGTAAACATGAAACATGTACACGTATTATTAATAAATACTATCTATACTGGTTTATACATAAATACTATAGTCACGTCTCAATTTCAATCTGTCAAACAGCCTCAGGGTGAGTCCAGACCATCGTAGAAAAAGTAGAACTGTGGCTCGGCGTATCGATGCCCTGCAATTCTATGGCCTGAAATTTTTGACAGATGAATTTTCGAAAAATTTCAGCCAATAGAATTGCTGGAGATCGATACGTCGCGTTGCGTCGATCCGGTGTTCTGCTTTTTCTACGATAGTGTGGATTCAACCTCACTCTCAGTTACTGTAAAAAATACCGTGTGATTTTAAAAAAACGGCGTTCAGTTGGCTTGAAAACGAACATCGATGATTACAGTTGGGGGTTGGAACCTTTGGTGTCACAACAGCAATATAAAACACTAAATCACCACAATACACCAAGACACTTTTACTTTTGTACTGGACGCGCGTTTCGCTTACCATGTTAGTATCATCAGCAGATCCGACCAAACCAAACATGACAGCGTCCTCATTTCATAGCCATCGCTGACGCCGTTTTTTTTTCGATCATGTTGTATATCGTGGTCTTTAATTTCAAGGGTTAATCCGTTACCGACTTTACCGTCAGTTTCGTCATCGATATTTTTTTTGTTTTGACAGACATCTTTTCTTAAAAAGTTTGTTGTAAAAATTTCAATGATTAAAATACAGGATGTCCCAGAAATAAGTGCAAGCAATTTAAGGGGTGGTAGATCTCGATAAAAGAAACATATTTTCTCTTTATCGTATTTCAAATAAGTCCAAAATAACGGAGTTATTTTACATTGAAAATTTCCAAAAAAATGATTTTTTGCTAAAATTTTGAGAACCACTGGGTCTTTTTTGGATTTTCTTTCTTGTAAATTTAATCTAATACCTATGTTGCCATATTATCAAGAAATTATGCTTTAACTAAAAACCAAAAAAAATTCAAAACATTTTTCAAAAAATTTCAAATTTTCAAATTTTTTTTTCGCGAAAAAACTTCATAGGCAGGTTTCTGAGGTTGAACTATACTACCATTTAAAATACTTGCACTTATTTCTGGGACACCCTGTATAAGCAGAATAGGTATAGCTTATGCACTGAATTCATTTACTACAATAAATATACTTGACAAAAAATAATTGGAAAAAATTTCAGCTAAAAACGGAAGAACTAATAATTTACTAAAATTACTAAAATAAAAAATTGAAAGCGACAAGAAAAAATGGGTAAACATTTGACTATTTTATCTATAAAACACAATACAGAAGGTTTCGTATTAATATCTTTAAAGTAATTGGAATTCCGAGATAAAAATCTCCGGGTACTCCACAGTAATATACTTTACGAAGATTTTCCTCAACGAAAAATAATGATAGTAATGACTAAATAAAATTTTAGGCTACAGACACTACTGGAAACGCATTGGCTTTTACTTTCACATTATTGGGAATGCATCCAGAAATCCAGGTAAATTTACAAAAAAAGAGAATTTTGGGATAGGTATTTAATTTTGATTATAATTTTTAATTAAAGGAAAAAGTATATGAAGAGGTAATAACGGAGATTGGTCGCGATACACCAATTGAAATAGATCATTTACCAAAATTGAAATATACGGAAAGAGTTATATCCGAAAGTATGAGAATACTTCCGCCCGTTAATATGGTGGCCAGATATATTAATAAGGACATTCAAATTGGTAAGCACTGTTTTCATTCGATTACACTGTATTACATAAAATAGGCTAATCAAATTAGAGGGGTAACTTGGACATAAGTGCTGGAAAACTAATTATTGATTTGATTGGTTCATTTGACGTGAAAGAAAAGTTTCCTTGACGTATTCCATGTGACGGACGACTGAATGTCACTTTAATGCAATTTTCGTACTTAATGCAAATTAAAGTACTGTACCCAAAATCTGTAAATCTACGGATTAATCAGTAGTTCTGGCAACAATGTCTCTAACAACCACTCACTCTGTCGACTGAAAGCTAGAACTACGGTACAGTATTCTTTATCCCCTGCGCTGTAAACAACTATCAGCGCCAACTAGATCAAACCTTGACAACTATCAGGGCGCAGCGACGCAGAGCTAAACTAAATTTCAGAATTCTCGGACAGGCTGACGGTAACGCCAGCTACATCTCGGACATGTTTTGTGCCACGAAATCGTCCATAAGGTTGCGCATCTTCTTATTTCTTCAATCAGCAGTAATACAGAAATATTGGCTAGACGCAACGTTTCGGAACTATAGGCAAAAATCTAAAATAATTCGAAGAATTTACTCATCTTTTGGTCCTCCTGAGTCGAGCGGCGGTCGAGCAACCGTGCAAACCTATAGGAAACTTTTCTTTCACGTCAAACGAACCGATCAAATCAATAATTAGCGTTCCAACACTTTTTTCCTAGTAACTCCTCTAACATCAACAATAAGAAAAAAGTTTGTCCATTGTTGATCGCTTGGTATATTTTTAGGAGACAAAACATTTCCTAAAGGAGCCAATGTACTGATTTATACCCTTGCACTTCACCGTAATAGCAAATATTGGCCAAACCCCGAGAAGTTTGACCCAGACAGGTTTCTACCAGAAGAAATTGCCAAAAGACCGTCGTCTTGCTACATACCGTTTTCGTGGGGGCCAAGGAATTGCATAGGTGACTATCAATTAATCAATCAATCAATCAAATGTATAAATATTCAGCCATCGTTCAATGTCACATTATATATTGTCGAACTCTCTCGCCAACTCTATCGCCGAAATCATTTGCCAGAACAGTACTGCATATTCTTTTTAGTTATTGTCATTTCATTTGATTTGGGGTTATCATTTTATTGACGGACATCGATCAATGTCAAAATTAAAATTTGATTGATGCTGTAAAATAAAATTCAAATATTTTTATTGAAAAAATGCCTCAAAGATTTAACTAAAATGAACAAGAGATCATTGCTAAGCTTATAAAGAAAGAGAGGCTGACATACCCTAAAACTCATATTTGATAAATAATGATGACGTAACGGTGAACGATGGCTGAACAGTCTATATAGGATGCAAAAGAAATTGCGAGGAAACGATAAGAAGTTATTTGTTATTTCTGTTTGAAAAATTAAAACGGTTTTCAGTCTCAACTAGCGGAAACATGTTCACCAACTCATTACGCACATCACTCATTACGTAATCCAAATATAAAATATATTAAAGAAGAATTAAATTATTGGGCAAACCTACAGTAAGATTAGTCATGAAACATGACTAAAACATGACTACCCGTAGACACAGTGTTTCTGCCTTCCGGCTTTATCAATACGGGAGGAATTAGCAACGATGAACTAGCGAGCCTAAAAAAAGAAAAAGGGAAGCAAACCGATGGCGAAAAACCGCTGGCGCTGCGGAGGTACACCCTGTATAATATATTTTAAACAAAAGATGTTATCGTGGGGACTGTAATAAAAAACAAGAATAAAATTATTAGGCAAACCCACAGTAAGTGTCTACAGGTAGTCATGTTTTAGTCATGTTTCATGGCTAATCTTAACCTAACCTACAAGGTTACGTTAGGTTAGGTTAAAAAAAAATTGCCCAATAATTTAATTTCTTCTTTTTATTACAGTCCCCCCGATAACATCTTTTGTTTAAAATATATTATACAGGGTGTCCCAGAAATAAGTGCAAGTATTTTAAGGGGGGTTTAATTTTTTAATTTTATATGGTATAGTATGGTTAGGTTAGATTGCATTCTTTTAATGGGAAATTTTGAGAAGTAGCAATTTTTAAGAGAGATGAGATGAACTTACAATTAATTTTAAAAATGCATATTTGTATTTTAGATGTTTTAATAATATGAATTAGTTGAACTTAATAATCATATTTAAAAAATGTGGTTAAGTAAATGGTTATCGAACTCAAATTTTGGGGTGAGAAAATTAAATTGAATGTTTTACACGTGCCAATTTAAAAAAAAAGTTAACAATGTTTGTATTTTGTTTATGGTAATTCTCTTACATGTAGTTTTTTGCGAAGAAATATTTCATTTATTTTTTAAAGTAAATGCCAGTAAAAGTAAATATTATTTTTAAATAGTAATATAAAGTAATATAAATAATTTTGATTTCTATTTTTTTATTTATATTTTCCTTCCAATGCTTAGAAAATTAATAAATGTTTATATTTCATGATTTTAAAATTTGTTGTTAATATAACAAATTAGTTCTGTAATTATTATTATTTAATAAACCAACGTTGGCATTTAGAGACTATATTATTTTTAAATAGGATCTAATATAAATACTTTTGACTTCTATTTGTTGTTTATATTTTGCTACTACTTAAAAAAAATGTTTATTTTATTAAATGACATTTTAAATTTTGTTGTTAATAGGTATAACAAATTATTACTGTTATTATTATATTATCTCTTAGGTAGATCTCGAAAAAAGAAAAATATTTTCTCTTTATCGTTTTTCAAATAAGTCAAATAACGGAGTTATTTTACTTTGAAAATTTCCAAAAAAAAATATTTTTTGTTAAAATTTTGAGAATAAACTGGATCTTTTCTGGATTTTCTTTCTTGTAAATTTAATCTACTACCTATGTTGCCAAATTATCAAGAAATTATGTTTTTTAACTAAAAACTAAAAAAAATTCCAAAATTTTTTTCAATAAATTCCGAATTTTACAATTTTTTTTTCGCGAAAAAAACCCTCATAGGCGTGTTTCTGGGGTTGAACTATACTACCAGTTAAAATACTTGCACTTATTTCTGGGACACCTTGTATATTTAAAAAAATCAGCCCAATTTACAGGGTACCCACTGTTCTATATTTTGAAATTCTTTCAGTTTCAATACTGAATTATTGTCTACCACGTTCAAAGAGATCAATAATTTAGCTACGATTTGCTTAATAAATCATCGAAGTCAAGATAGTCAAACATATTGCCATATTGTTGAAATTTCCATACTTGGATAGCTAAAGATTTTATTATAGCTAGATATCGGCCCCATGTTAATATGGAATTTTTTTTTTACAAAGCAGAATCAGACCAATGTTAATATGAAAAATAAATTTTATTTTTACGAGAGGAATCTCCCCACGAGAGATGGCACATGTTTTTTGGAACACCCTGTATATTGAACTTTAACATTCATGAAAATTTTAAAGTGTCTATTTTTCAATCCGGTCAGTGTATAATGAAAATAAATCTAGTTTCTTTTTATAATATTAATGCAATATTTTTATAGGCAAAGTATACGCAATGATGTCTATGAAAGTGGTGGTGGCCAATGTGATACGAAACTTTCGGGTATCATCCAAGTATCGCTCGATTGATGACATGGAGATGAGATGCTTTATCACAATGAGAACGATAAATGATATCGACTGCCATTTTTCACCCAGAAATTAATTAAAGATATTTTAACAACTAATTATATTTATTTTTGTAATCAATAAAGTGATACAAAGATAAATAAGCATAGTTTTATTGACATCGAGTTATCAAATTAGATCGTTTATATTTGGGAGCATTTTATCTATACCGGGTGCGTCTCAAAAGTGGCTCACCCTAGTTCAGTCATTGGGGATCAAAAAAGGGGCCTGCTTTGAAAAAAGTCCGGAAGTTTTGAAATTTATATATTATTATGGTTTATAGGTTTTGGGGTCCCTAACTAAAATCCATAAAATGCACACTTCCAGACTTGCCGCTGTCGCCGCCATCTTGCCAAGATTGCGCCCAAAATCGGTATTTTGTAAATATCTCGAAAACTATGCGTTTTTCGCAAAAATTAAAATTTCCTATAAAAAAGGTTCTATGAAAATTTTCGCTAAAATTAACCATTTAGGCACAAAATCGCTGGAAATTTTACAATTTTGCGTAAAGTATAGTCGATTTTCCGAAATCAAATAATGTCATTTAGGGTTCACTAAAACTAGTTTTAGTTTAGTTTCGTAAATTTTGTTATGAAACAGTGGCGTATCATTAATTCGCTAATTAATTTATGAATTTCATAAATTGTAGCGTTGAATGTGTACTCTACAAAACCGCATCGTTTTTGAGATTGACACTTTTTGTTCCAGAGATATAAGGTTTTAATGTTTCGGAAAATAGAAAAAAATATTTCTTTTGTAGATTTTCTCAAATAACTCGAAATTTGTTAGAGATATCGGAAAATGGCTTTCGGCAAACAATTCTACATAAAATGAACTATAAGTGAGCATATTTTAGTTGCGATCTGAGAGATTTCGGTTTTTGACAAAATCGACAGGACGGTGCCGAGGAATTTTTTCGAAAAGTTTTGGAAAATTTTCGAAAATCGATTTTGCTTATATCGTAATATGTTGTAGCGTTGAATGTGTACTTTACAAAACTGCATCATTTTTGAGATTGACGCTTTTTGTTCCAGAGATATATGGTGTTAAATGTTTCGGAAAATAGAAAAAAAAGTCATAGTAGATAGTAAAATAGTATCTGTACTCTTTAAAAATTTGATACATCTTTAAAAATAATCTAAAATATCAGTATTCCATAGGTATATTGATAAATGAGTTCTAAATTACAAGAAAATTCATTTTTTACGGAAACTTGAAGAGATAGGTAAAAGATGGTATAATACAATTTGATAGACAATTAAATTGTGCATCTGATTCTCATAAAATATACAGGGTGTTCCATTTAAATTAAACAAGTTATTGCCGTTTAAAGCTAATAATAATTTAAAATAAATATTTGGACACTCTGTATAAGATAGTAAAATGTTTATTATTGCAACACAATAACTGATCAATAAATAAACTTCAGTAAATATTTAGTATTAAAAACTTTGATACCCTCGGAGAAATGAAGCCTTAAAATTTATACTGTAATTTCACAAAATTGAAAATATTTCAAAAACGGCAAGGTTTAAGTGTAATAAACCTTAATCAAATGATGCAATCGTAGAAACTAAAAATATAATAATATACAGGGTGTTCCATTTAAAAAAATACAACTTTGATATTTTTTTATTTATTTGGGACACTCTGTATCTTGTAAAAATATTTTTAAATTATAGCTCTAATAGACCTTCAACGAACCCAAAACTTACAATTTGTAAAAATCTAACCGTTTAGCTACAATATTCCGTGTCGTATGTGGTGAACAACCCTGTATATTAGTGAAAATTATAGTTTAATGACCGATATTAAATGCAAATATGTTTTATTTCATGAACAACTTCTATAGCTAAATTTATGTGTTGTTCGTTTTGTTAATTAATTGATATTGACCAACGTTCATTGTTTTAATATAACGGTGTGTTAAAAGTGGATAAGAAAAAACTAAAAGATCATTTTATCAAATGTAGATATTATGTACTTTTTTATATAATTCCCTTGCAGTTTAAAAGTCAGTAAGAGGACTTAATGCATATTTTTTAAGTTATTATGAAAATTAAAAATGGGTTTTATTGTTTAAAAGCGAAAAAAAAACCCTCCGTATTTCTAATTTGAATAAAATAGAATTTAAAAAAAATAATTAAAAATAGCATTCTATAGTCTGGAGTTTTCTTAAAGTAGACCACACACGTAGAGTTTCTCCTCAAGCTTTGGCTCAAGCTTTTGAGATGATGCTAGGTGAAATGGCCAAACAAAGCTCATCAATGCCATTCATAGCTAAAGAACTCTTCTGCGGCCCTGCAAAAGCAGCCACAAGAATGGCTATAAAACAGTGGATCTCTAGAATTGGAGAAATTTACCAAGCTTAACGGCTACTTAAAGCAAATGAAATTGACGGGCAAAACCATGTGCAGCTTTTGTCAGTCTGAAGAAGAAACGACAGAACATATTCTATGTCAGTAAAATCGATAAAAAATTGAGTTTTTTAATTAATATAATATCAAATTTTTATAACCCATTCGACGCCAAACTTTAAAAATTAATTTTTGTAACATTTCTGCCTTTAGTTTAGTACCTTAAGTTTTGAAAAAATATTGAAAAATATCACTAATGATATTTGGAACTTGGCTACATCTAAGTATTGGTAACAATGAATGCAAAATTAATGGAATATAGCAATATCTATTGTTAATTCTTCATTTTTACATACTACATAGAAACACGTTCATGAAACTGTTTAAAACAATCGAGCGGATGCATATTAACATTACATATGCCGCAACCGAATGTAGTATTTTTTTACACACTTTACATCTATTTTGCTTTACCCTATTTGGGAAATGCAGAACCGACAAATTACGAGAAACAGCATCTGGAACATTTGGAAATAATATAGTTGAACTGGTTCTTCCTTGTTTGCTCTCTCGGTGGCTTAGAAGTAAATATGATGACACAATGTATCTGATAAATCCTAATAAGTCAAGGGTTTTGGAATTTCTTACAAATTCCTCAGCACTAGGTTGCTCTTTTTCTTGGCATCTTGACACATTCTGTGACCAAAATTTGAAACCATATCTAATAGGCTTCCCTTGAATTCTCTGCTTGCAGCTATGGTGACTATAGTATGGCACCATCGATTCATCGACGGATATTGGGGTATTTTGAGCAAGTGGCGTATATTTCATAAATACCGTGTTTAGGTGTCCGATTAGAGTGATAAGGGGTCTTACTTCAGCAAACTTGGCATTTGGTGGTAGTTCGGCGTTGTTGGTAAAATGAAAAGTACAATGCAATAGATGTAGCCATGTTCCATTATTGGAACATAACAAAAAGGGAGATTGAGAGATAAAAATAATAACACAATATTTATTCGTGATATAGATGTGAATACTCCTTTACAACACAATGAAACCAAATATTTAATGACAAGCTGCACGGTATCCAGCTATGAAAATTTAGTATTAGCCTCCTTGTAGAAATTTCAGTTTAACTAAGCCCTATGTACCTGTACTGCTGCAAGCTAACCTCAAAAATTCATGATCAACATGTGTTTTGGTATAAATAAATATACGTTATATTAGAAATGTCATACGACTGACTCCCTTTAGTAGACAAAAAAAAAGAGATGTTCCAATTTTTGAACATGGCTTCGAATGGGTTCAGTAACCACTCTATAATTCACGTGAAACAATATGAAAATTTAAAAAAAACCTTATATTTTTGAATTAAAAATGCAAATGCCTATAAAGACATAACATGAAATAACATACAAAAAAAAACGGCGTCGCAGATGCCCGGGGAAAAAATCTATGATGATTTTAGCGAGGTCAAGCCATAGACGTCACTTACTTGTCCCGTACTCTTTTTTATTTTTAATGGAACTTACTGCCAATTGGCCTTAAGAGGGTTGTAATTATTTTTACATTGAGTAAACATTATTTTTAAATGGTGTAGTTTAAAATTCGAGATTTTTTTTTTAGAAATATATTTGTGTGTCTGGTAATTTTCTATCCTTTTTTAATCTTTCTATAATTAGTGTTAATTTTTGACAAGTTTTATGTCAATTTCTAGTAAATTACGTCTAGAGATTGATCTCGTCAAAATTTATCATCGATTGTCATTCCCCAGCCATCTTTGATGCCATTTTTCTTATCATCTTTTCCATCATACGGTATTACTAATACATTGAACAATAACACTACACTAAATAAAAAAATTGGCGCCGGGAGACACGTATAGCCGCCCATACTAAAATATGTTAATAAAAAGTTGGTAGGCAGTCCTTTTAGTTTCAACGTAAAGGAACTTTTCCAATTTTTTTTATCTCAAAAACTGCGACTTTGACTGATTTTGATGTTATTCAACTTTTGTTGCAAATATTATTCCTAATCTTAAATTGAAAACCGCGTTTTGCTAGCTACTGTAATTTTACGTTACGATTTTTTAAAATTTTTAACCCCCTTCCATACCCCCTTACCAATCCCCCACCCCCACCAAAAACTAATGGCCAGATTCTCGGGTGCCACAGTATTTTTGTGCCAAATTTGGTTAAAATCGGTTTAGCGGTTTTTGAGATTTCGTGTTACAGACGGACAGACGGACAGACAAACAGACGGACAGATCAACAGACGGACAAACGGACAGACGGACAGACGGACAGACGGACAGACGGACAGACGGACAGACGGACAGACGGACAGACGGACAGACGGACAGACGGACAGACGGACAGACGGACAGACGGACAGACGGACAGACGGACAGACGGACAGACGGACAGACGGACAGACGGACAGACGGACAGACGGACAGACGGACAGACGGACAGACGGACAGACGGACAGACGGACAGACGGACAGACGGACAGACGGACAGACGGACAGACGGACAGAAGGACAGACGGACAGACGGACAGACGGACAGACGGACAGACGGACAGACACCATGAAAATATTTTGTATTTAGGTCATTTATGACCCAGTAACTCATTTTGAGTGAAATTAAAAAAAAAAACTTTTTTTTGCCGATCTTAATAGCCTACCATACCTGTTGGTATGGTCGGCTAAAAGGATAATATTTTAGTTTCAATAAATGCTAATAAACAATTATAGAAACTTAATAAAAGAGAAAAGAAGTAGAAACAATATAATCCAGATCACTTTTTTTCATCATTTTTGGTTTTTTATTGTCATAATATATGATTTTTTTTGTTAATTTATTTTATTTTTTTATAAATATTTCTTTTTTTTCTAGTTATTATCTATCTAATTCACTAATTGTTATAGTACAAATAGTACTAACTATAATTGTATATTTAATTTTTTTTCTTTGAACAGGTTAAGTAGAGTAGCCATAGGCTAGACTTTGCCTGAAGAAGAAGTATGATGTATTTTGTTATTTTTCCTTTAATAAAGCCATTTATTATTATTATTATTATAATAAAAAATAACATTATTAGTTATTTCAAAGATTTTGATTTCGACCGCTAGAAAGTATCAAATGACTTCCGTACGTAATTAAAGAATTTTCCTATACGGTACTGATTCTTAAACCGATGCCCCCAAAAAACTGGAAATTCCCGGTATTTTTGAGACCGATATTTCGGTTCTGAAACTCACTACGACAGCAATCAATTCGAAGTTGGTCAAAGAATGTCTAGAGAAGCTCAACAAGTTGGGCAAAGAAAATAAAGTCCTCCTACTCTAGGTGCCTGCTCACCAAGGGATAGAAGGCAATGAAATAGCAAATGATCTACCTAGGAAAAGAGCGAACACTCCACTAACTGGACCAGAACCGTTCTGTTTTCCAAGCGGAAACCAACTGAAAGCGGAACTGAAGAATCTGGAAGACTCCAACCGCAACTTGGAATGGGTGTCCTCCAACGGTCTAAGACACTCGAAAAAGTTCCTCAGAACCTACGACTGAGAAAAATCAAAGGTTTTCCTTGATTTAAGTAAAAACAATCTTCGGATTGTCACGGGGTTTCTAACAGGACACTGTCTCCTCCACGAACACCTCAGTAGGCTGAAGCTGAGAATCAACGGCGAATGCAGATTCTGTGGGGAATATGGGGAAACACCAGAACACCTCATCACTGAGTGCGCCGAGACGACGACCATTCGTGCCATGAACTTTGGTACGGCTGATGTCAAGGATGGAGAGCTGGCCTCTGTGGAGCCGTCTCAGATACTGGCTTTTGTTAAAGCCTTGAGACCGTATGATGAGTTATAACTTGTTATAACTCAAGAAAGGGAAACACACAATAGATCTGTAAGGTCGCGGTGACTAACTCCCCTCCTAAACATTCTACATTCTACTACGACAGCAATAATAAGGATATGTTTGATAAATCAAGATCGACAGAAAAACTAAAAGAGATTGAGTCGAATGCTACAAAAGTTCTGACTGCGCAGTTTTGCCTGGAGAAAAAACTGCAAGTGCGTGACAACCTTTACAGTGTTATGTGCTGTACAGACATTAGGCGGTCTCTTGCATGTACTTGTAAGTCATCAATGTTTCATAAATACATGGGACATACAGTTTATCGCCAAATCCGAGGGGCATTATTTGAGAAACTGTACCAAAATTTACTGCATACTGTACGCTGTACTAGGGAAAAATACTCAGTTGGATACCATTGCTTTACCTTGAGGTGACAGTGCAATAACTTTCTATATAGGTAAATAAATATTTTTATTTAAATATTTTTATTTTGTCTACAGTGTCTCTGGATAGTCTTTACTAGTTAGAATTATACAGGGTGGTCCGAATTGTATTCCGGAAACTTCGGCAGCATATTCTGCAGATAAAAATAATTAAAAAAGTTCCTATAAATGTATGTCCTAAAATGCTTAGTTTCAGAGATACAGGGTGTAGAAGTTTCATTTTTATTTCGATTTTTTCTAAATAATTTCTGAAGTGACGTCAATATTTGGATGAAAATTGGTGTCTGGGAGTTTTTTAACATGAGAAATTTGATTTTGATGTCAATATGTGTCCTACTAGTAGAGGGCGCCACCTACATGTGTTTTACCTGGTTTGAAGCGTAATACTTTTTTGTACGTACCTGTATAAAACTACCGAGTGAAAAAATATACATCTCTGTGACTTTTTACGTAAAAAATATCTCTTTGTAAAAATCGCTACGAGCAACTGCTCTTACAAAAGCACTGTTCTTAAGATATTTGAGAATGGAAATAGTCAATACATGTGATTATTGACGAAAAATAAACACGTTGAGTAGATAGTTATTTCACTGAAATAATAAATTTGGGAAATTTTTATTTTTTTAAATTAGTCATAATTTTCTCTGCAAAAAAAGATGATAAAACCGTTTCTCTTGAACTTTTGGCTCAAAAACATTTCAAATTTATGATTTCAGTCTAATAACTATTTAGTCAACATGTTTAATGTATGTCAATGATGACAGGTATTTATAATTTCGATTTAAAATATCTCGAAAGCCATTACTCGTAGCGATTTTTACCAAGAGACCTTTTTCACGTAAAAACGTCGTAAATGTATATTTTTTTACTCAGTAGTTTTATACAGGTACGGACGAAAAGTTATTACTCTTTAAACCAGTTAAAAAATATGTAGGTGGCGCCCTCTACTAGTAGGAGTCATATTGACATCAAAATCAAATTTCTCATGTCAAAAAACTCTCAGACACCAATTTTCATCCAAATATTGACGTTACTCCACAAATTATTTGGAAAAAATCCAAATAAAAATGAAACTGCTGCACCCTGTATCTCCGAAACTAAGGATTTTAGGACATACATTTATACGAACTTTTTTACATATTTTTATCTGCAGAATATGCTGCCGAAGTTTCCGGAATACAGTTCCGACCACCCTGTATACTAAATCCTAAATCGGGAAAATTACATTCTGCATAAACGTTTTTGCTTGTTCTAAAAGGATTCATTCTGTTTATAATTTTTTTGAAATTTCCGTATCGATTAAAAATAAAAATACGAAAATATGGTAGATTTTTTTTATTTAAAAAAATCACAACGCGCCTCTGTAGTAAAATCAATTGGTTCCTATTGTAACAAAGTCTTGTCACGGATATTGTACTATACCACAAACTAACTTACTAACTCATTTTTTTTTAATCTAGTAAATTCTCAATTCAAGGATTTACAATTCCGTATTATGGCATGGTTAAAAATTGTAGTAGGAGCAGGAGTACTTGCAGTTTTGGTCATCCTGAAAGTAGGATGGTCACTTTATAAAAAAAGACACATTTTTGAGTTTGCGAAAAATTTTAACGGTTTCAGGTTCTATCCGATATTTGGAAACTTTTGGCAGCTGAGCAACATAGGTTACTCAGGTTAGTAGTATATAATTATTATTAATTCGTTAAAATACTGGATGATAGATTGTGGTAAGTGCCAAACATAGGTCTACCTTTCTGTGATTTTTCTTAAAATAGATCGATATCTAATTAAAAACAGTGTATGCCCTATGTGCGCATATTTGAAGTGAAACTTCTTACTATCAGCTATTAAATTGGAGGATTTGAAGGACATGTTTGAAAAAGTGACATATAATGCTGTTTCAATATAAATATTATTTTCAATTTATTTCTGTACATTTTCTGTTTCCTCAATATACCGTCCACTGCTGAACAAAAGCCTTCCTTAACTCTAGCCATTTCCTTCTATTTTGTGCCACTTGAATCCAGTTTCCAGCCACCCTCTTAATGTCATCTGTCCATCGACTAGGAGGTCGTCCTCTGCTTCTATAGGCCTCGTGTCTCGGTCTCCATTCCACAAGTCTCTTTGTCCACCGTTCATCTGTCATCCTAGCCACATGTCCTGCCCAATTCCATTTAAGATGTAAGACAGATATCACCGCATCTCTTACTCCTGTTCGATTTCATATTGTATGATTGGGTATTTTATCTCTGAGTATGAAGTCCCAACATGGACCTTTCCATTTTCCGTTGCATGACCTGTATTCTATGTATGTTCTTTTTTGTCAAAGTAAGCGTTTCAGCTCCATACGTGAGGACAGGCAAGACACACTGGTTAAAGATCTTTTTTCTTAAACATATGGGAATATCAGATCTCAGTATATGCCTTAGTTTGCCAAATGCCGCCCACGACAAACCTATTCTTCGTAGAATTTCGTGGGTCTGATTATCCCTTCTAATACCGATCTCATGCCCTAAGTATTTATATATACGAACTTGTTCCAAAGGTATGTTATTAATGTTTAAAGTTCCACTTAGTACTAGGTTTGTCATGTATTGTGTCTTTGACAAGTTAATTTTCAAACCGACTTTTTCCGAAGCATCATTCAGCATATCCAGCATATTCTGTGCCTCCTGTATGTTGTCTGTTATTAAAATAATGTCATCTGCAAAACAGAGATGATTTATCAATTTGCCATCGATGTTAATTCCTGTTGAATCCCAGTTTATCATTTTTAACATACTGTCTAGCACAGCAACGAATAGTTTAGGGGATAGTGTGTCGCCTTGTCTTACCCCTCGATCGATATTGAATTTGTCTGTGCATTGATTTGTCGATATTCTGACGTTTGCCTTGGCATTATCATATATATGTCTTATGATTGAGGAGTATCGATGATCGATGCGACTCTCACTTAGTGTCTCTAGATGCTTTTACTGGTCTACCGAATCGAAGACCTTCTCGAAATCAACGAAGACAAGCATTAGTGGTCTATTATACTCAATGCATTTCTCGATAAGGACCTTGACTGTCAGAAGATGGTCAGTTGTTCCGTAACCTGATTGGAAACCTGCTTGTTCGCTCGAAAGAAAAAAGTCTATTTTATTTGTCAAAACGCTTGGTGAGTATTTTAGTAAATAATTTGTATACGTGGCTAAGAAGGCTGATGGGCCTATAGTTTTTAAGGTCTGTAACGTCACCTTTCTTGTATACAATAATGATAGTTGCGTTATTCCACTGATGGAGTTATTTCTCACCCTGATGGGGTTATTTCTTCTTCAATGCATTTATTAAATAGGACATCTAAAGCTTTGATGATTTCTGGTCCCCCTTCTTTAATTGACTCTATTACCAGTCCATCGTCGCCGGCAGCTCTATTGTTTTTCATATCTCTAAGGGCACTGATAATTTCTTCCTCGGTTATTTCTGGAATTTCTTCCGACCCCTGATTTATATGATTATTCGGATGTCGGTTTTGATCCCCTGCTGTTTTGATGTGTAAAGTTCTTGATAGAAAAGTTTAATAGAGTGTAGGATTTCCTGTTTGTGCGTTACTATGTTGCCGTGCAGATCCATTGTTTGTGTGTTACTATGTTGCCGTGCAGATTTTCTTCCCATTGTACTATTTCTCAATACCTTCAAACTTTGATTCTTGTCTATGACGTTCCTAATTTTTTCCGTATTCTGTTGCCTCCTATGCTTTCTGATTTCTTTGGATATCTCTCTGTTTCTCTTGTGTACTCTTGTCCTCCATATCTCTTCTCTGTTTCATTAAAAGTTTTGTTCTTTGATTCAGTTTTTGTTCTTTTACTTTTTTGGGGCAAAATTTTTTGATAGCCGTTTGAGTGGCCTCTTTGATGTTTTCGTATATTTCGTCTATCGTAGTAGTATTTTCATAATTTAGATTTAAGGCTATACATTCCTTATAAGAATCTTTATTTTTAGGAGCTACCCATTTCTTGTGGTTTTTCTTGAGTATCATGTTAGTTCTTTCCTTCTTTATATTTATTTTTATCTCGGCTCTTACAATGCGGTGATCGCTTCCTATCGAAAATTTGTTTAATACACTTACGTCTTTGATTACATCTTTTCTATTGCTGATTATGAAATTTATTGCGTTTTTGGTTTTGCTATCTGGACTGGTCGATGTCCACTTTTAGCTGTTTCTTTTCTTGAAGAAGGTGTTCATTATATATAATTTGTTGTGGTGTGCGAAATCTATCAGTGTATCACCTCTTTCGTTTCGGCTTCCCAATCTATGATAGCTGACTGAAGTTTCTGCTTCATCTTGTTTGCCACCAACTTTGGCATTAAAATCTCCAATTAACATTGTATAGTGTGTTTTTCCATTTTGTAGAGCAGTGGATACATCTTCGTAAAAGTTCTCCAATTCATCATCTGTACTTTCGGTAGTTGGTGCATATGCCTGAATAACCTTTACAGAGTATTTTTTATTTAATTTTATTGCTAAACATATGACTCGTGGGCTTATGTTTTTGACATCTACAATCATATCTTTGTGTTTTTTGTGGACTAGGATTCCAACGTCTCTTATTGCAGTTTCTTCACCTGAGTAGCATAATGTATTTCCGGACTTCAAAATAACCTGTCCCTCTCCTATCCTGCGGGCTTCACTTATACCCAGTATGTCCCATTTTATATTCTTAAGTTCTTCTTCCAGTTCTAGAAGTTTTTCGTCCGATGACAGTGTTCTGGCATTGTATGTTGCAATATATAATGAGTGTGGTCTTTGGCAGCTTTTCTTTATTTTTGTTGTTGGTGCAAGCGAATTTTTGCCTCCCCCAGAATCCTCGAGGCAGACCTTTTTCAAGGTGTGGGAGATGACATTCGTTCTACCCACCTGGGGTACACTTTCCTTTTCTGTTTTAGAATTCGCCATGTCTTTGTTGTTTTTAGCCATAATCTTCCACGTTGGCCAAACGTCTTGAAAGATTGGATTTGAAATGAACAGGAAATTTTGTTAGGTTTGGACAGGAACTGAGAATAGGACAATGGTTTCCCCTGTATGGAATTTGGAGATAAACCAAGGCTCACGTAGGCAGGGGCGCATCCCTGAAGTGGATTTGTCACCTATCGGGATCATAAATGAATATCTACTCGCTACCATACATATATGTGGAATACCACTCAAAATACACACTTTTATGCCAATGTCTAATCACGTTAACGCTTTAATTTATTTAAGAAGTGAAAAAATTTTGAACTTAACCAACAATTCGTATTTATAGTGGTTTACAGTAATTTTGTTAAATTATACGAATATTCTCGTTGATTATGGGTTTGAAAGAAACATGTCCTCCACTGAAAACGCAAGTTGCTCAACTCTAATAATTCTAATTCTGAGCTAGCAAATGGGCTAGATGCTTTACCTATACCGTTATTCAAAAGGTACAAACCTATTGATGAAAATATGCATAAAAAATTATTTCCTAGCACACAACCAGAGGATTTTGGTACACAGGTACAGTATCAAGTTTATTATAATTATTTTCTTAGCTTTAAATCAATCGTTTTTGGCCTTTGCGCGATCCTTACCACTCTTTTTCTCGCTAGCTCTTGCATTAAAGCCGTGTTGTGTCAAGGTGACACGCCACTGCTTTGAATTTTTACTCCCATCTCGCGTAAAGAAGTTTCACTTCAATAAAATATCACAACCCCTACAATCTAATATCTAATTGTCTAATAATCTAATGATTTCCCTTTTTCTTCAAATCTTACATCACTTACGTTGTGTTAATGATGTGTATCTCATCAGTGGCGGATCTAGGGTAAAATACGTCGTGGGTAAAGACAAAATTTGGCGCCCCCACGATTCAAAAAATGTGTAGACACATCTCCCCTCCAAAAGAAAATAAACTATGAAAAAGTATTTCAAACGTTATATTATAGGGTAATTCCGAGAGAGATGGCTCACATTTTTTAAACCCTTCTAACAAAAAAGACATCTTTCAACAAGATATCTTTCTTAAACTTATTTATTGATAAGCAGTTAATTTAACCGGTCGTTATTTATTTATGTTTCAAACATGAGTATAGATAAAATAATAAACAGTTTCTGTTAAAAATAAAAACGGTTTTTTCAAAAAAAAAAGTCAAAATAAATAACTGGGCCAACTCGCCCGGAACTTAAGGGTTAGATGGCTCAGTGGGTATGGGATAGATGGCTCAGTGATAAGTGTCCCTTATTCATTTTTTTTTCTTGCTTAAAACCTTCCCACAGGAGTTACATATATTAACAGTTTGAGCAAGTTTCGTGACACCAACTTTTACAATGTAGGTACACATTGAAACCAGTCATCTTTTTTCACCGTTGTTTTGTAGGGTTCACCCTTAGATTAACAATGGTTTACCGCAACCTACACATTCTACATCTTCATCTTCTAAAGGGCTATCGCCTGATTCTTGAAGCTCGAAGGTATCTTTATCTATTGAGGAATATTTCGTTTCTTTTGATTTCATTTTCTGTGATTTCCTTTCTACATTTTTCTTTGTAACTTTTTTTTGCATTTTTGCCTCCTTTCTTTTGCTTCCTTATTTAACTGAGCCAACTTTTTTTTCTCAATATGCTCAGGAGACGTTAGAACAGTTGCAACTTGTCTTCCACGTTTTCTGACATTATTCATAGAAATGGAGAAAGTGCTAGGAATGGGATGCATTTTCCAACATCGTCCCTAAAAAATGTTATAAGAAAATTTTAACGATTATTAAAAATTTATTTAATTAACTTTATCAGGTGTATCGCCATCTGAAGAACTATCTTTGGCAGCAATGGGTTGATTTCCATTATTGACTGTAGTGACATTGGTCCCAGTTTCTTGTGATGATGGTCCTGGATTTTCCAAATGCTTAGGAGTCTCGATGTGATTATCAATGTTGCGTTGTTCCAGATGGTCGTTCTCGTTGCCGTTTAAATAAGCATAATTAGGTATTGCCTCAGGGTTAAACGGGCAAATGTCTGGGGATTTAAAAGCAGAGAGCATTTTCTATAGTGGCTGATTTAGACCAAGCATCGGCCAGTAATTCTCCAAAATTAAGCCTTGATATTTTTCTGGTTGGGTTTGCCCTCACATATCTGTTGCATGCAGAATTAAAATAAGCCTTAAAACTTAAAAAACTTCTATCGAGTGGTTGCAGGAATTGGGTGGTGTGGCTAGGAAGGCAAAACAATATTACCTGATGTTTACCTACTGGTTTCGGACATTTTTATATTTTGCCGCCCCTGTGCCGAAATTTTACCTGTAGGTATGATGTTGAAACTACTAACATACCTTATGTGTGCATGCCGTGCGTGATTAGAGTTTTAACCTATTGATTACCGGACACATTTTGGTGCCTCTGCGGCGCGCGGCGCCCCTAGCGCCTGGCGTTGTTGGCGGTTGCCCACCTTGCCCACGCCTAGATCCGCCACTGATCTCATATTTCCATGCAATGTATTTTTTAGATTTCTTCGATGCAGTACGCGTACTAGCCAGGAAATTGGGACTACCACTCAATTTCTGGTATGGACATAGCTATATCCATGTTACAGACGATGCCGAAGCTATAAAAGTTATACTTAACCATCCAGATAGTTTGGATAAAGCAAGTTTCTATAATATAGTCAAAGTAATATTTGATGATTGTCTTCTAGTTTACAAAGGTAGTTAGTTTGGATTTTTAGAAATATTTTCTTGTAACATACAAATTGTAACAAACTCACTTTGCATTAACAAACTTACACATTGCATTATCTAAGTGACATTGAATATGCAACACCTTTGGAGAGTACTATAATTATCTCTACGGGTATAGTTTGATAACATATTTGCCTACTACTAAGTAGTTAATGATTTTAAACCCGAAATGTTTCGTAAAAACTGAGATATTCTACCTTAAGGTTAATAATGTGTTGATACACTTGTTTGCTACACACTCGCCGAAATTGTTGCGGCATCGATTGGAGAAGATGGATAATCTCGCCTTGGAGTTGAATTAACCGCCGCGCCGCTATCTTACAGATCTATTGTGTCCCCCTTTCTTGAGTTACTCATCATACATTCTTAAAACGACAAAACTCCAGGGCTTGATGATATTTATTCGCAAACGTTCCACTTGTCAAGATCAGAGAAAAGACGTCTTCATGTGCTTTATAGACTATGAAAAGGCGTTCGATAATGTTAAACATAATCTCCTTATAATCATACCTCAGATACTTATTGGGACTTGATGGGAAAGATATAAGACTGATCAGTAATTTGTGTTGGAACCAAAAAGCTGAAATTCGTATACATAACGTATCCAATGTTTTTTAACTTGTATGTGAAAAAAGCATTCACTGAGTCAATTCCGACAGTCTCATTGGTTTGAAAATAAATGGGACTGTTCCAATTAATAATATCCGATATGCGGATGACACAGTGATATTGGCAGACAATGCAAATGATCTCCAAATCCTTCTAAATAAGGTTAACAATGAGAGCCGAAAATTGGGTTTAAACATTAATAAAACTAAATTTATGGCTGTCAGCAGAAACAACATTCCGAACACCAGAATTTACTTAAATGGAGAGGTTATCAAGCACACATCACACAATTTAAATACTTGGGATGCATGGTTAACCAAACGTGGAATCCAGATCAGGAGATCAAATGCAGGATCGAGCAAACAAGAACAACTTTTCTAAAACTTCGAAGGTTTCTCACAGATAGGAACTTGAACTTCGGCCTTAGATACAGAATGGTGAAGTGTCTGGTCCGTTTTGTTATATGGTGTGGAAGCATGGATATTGAATGTAGCAACAATAAACAGAATTGAAGCCTTCGAAACAGGGCCTATTTTACCATAAGGCCTATAAGGCCCTGGCCTTGGGCCCGGTGGTCTGGGGGGCCCGTTAAAGGTTGTAAAATATTCATAATTTCTTGAATTTTTGAATTTTATTGGAAAAGAGGGCCCGAATTTTTGCTTGAGCCTTAGGGCCCGACCAGATGAAAAATAGGCCCTGCTTCGAAATGTGGACCCTACGACGAATGCTAAGAGTGTCCTGGGTCGACCGTGTGAGGAATGAAGACATTCTCAGAAGAGCTGGTCTAGAAGAACGTGAACTCTTCGAAATCATCAAGAAGAGGAAAATAGCCTATTTGGAACACACACTACCAGGAGAACGCTATCACTTTCAGTGTCTAATTCTCCAAGGTAAAATCGAGGGGGGCAAAAGGGGAATAGGCCGAAGGAAGCTATCCTGGCTGAGAAATATTCATCATTGGACAGGCATACAGGACTTTCAAGCACTCCAATTTGCTGCAATAAATAGAATCATCTGATGATGAAGAAAAAGATGATGCCTACGCAGGAATCTGCACGGCACCTTAAGAAGAAAATACATTCTCAGGGCTTTGACAAACGCTAGTACCTGAGACGGTTTTCAGAGGTTAGTTCTCCAGATCCGATATCAGTTGCACCAAAGTTTATGGTACAAATGGTTGTCGTCTTGGCGTACTCAGTGATGAGGTATTTTATTGTTTTCCTATTTTCCTTACAGAATCTGTTCATATAGTGTCCTGTTAAAAACCCTGTGACAATCCGGAGATTGTTCTTACTTGATGATCACTAGATGATTACTTGATGATTACTTGATAAAGGAAAATTTTTGCCTTTTTCCGATCGTAAGTTCTCAGAAAATTTGTAGATTCAAACACATCAAATACCGAAAAGTGACTAAAATCTTGAACATGTTTATTGGGTTAAAGCCGAACATTATGATGAACATTAAGAAAAAAAGTGTTGCTCGAAATACAATAGAAATTTTATCTGCGTGAATATACATAATATATTGAATAAGTTTTTTACAAAAATACGATAAGTTAGTCTAGGTGTTGCATTTTCAATGTTAGATAGTATATATTTTCGTACTTCTAAAAACACTAATTTTACTTTTAGCTGAAGATTGGAAAGTACGACGGAAGTTTTTCTCGAAAAGTTTTAACCAGCCCCTCCTCAATTCTTATGTGCATTACTTTTATCGTAATAGCAATGTGTTGGTAGATGTGCTACACAATGATTACGAAGATCTTTTCAGCGTCTTCGGTCATTATACCTTTGACACATTTTGCGGTAAATATTAACAAAACTTAAAATTGAAAAATATAGAGGAATTTTAGTGAGCGATATTTAAATTCTTTTGCGATCTTGGTAATTTTTTAAATAACGTTTGATTACTGATTCATAATAGTTTTTATTATGTGTCGTCATTATCATCATCATTTTCAGCTTATTCAACCATTTCCAATTATGGTGTAGCCTCCCTTACACACTCTCTTTGTAGCTGGGCCCATTCTTGTCTATTGTTGGCTATGCGGGCCCAAGTTACCACTGCTAATTTATTAATATTATGATCCCATCTCAGGTTCGGTCTTCTTTTAAGTCTTTTAATTCCTCGTGGGTACCATGCTGTAATTTCTGTAGTCCATCTGTTATCCGTTCTTCTTGCCAGGTGTCCTGCCCATTGCCATTTGAGGGACTTGATTCTGTGGATTCCGCCTAGAACCTGGGTCTTTTGTCTTATCCACTCTCTCTTGATTATTCCCAGCATATTTCGTTCCATTAAATGTTGTGCGACCTGCAGTTTCCTTATGATCTCCGTTTCAAGTATCCAGTTCGCATGCATAGGTCATGACTGGTAGTACACATTGGTCGAATGTTTTCTTCTTCAGATAGAGTGGCATTTTAGATTTGAATATGATTGAGTTTCTTCCATAAGTACTCTATGCTAACCAGGGGCGGATACAGGAATTTATTTAAAGGGGGGGGGGCCAAAATGAAAAGCAATGTAGAATATGTTTTTTAGGGCGCCATTTTTAACCCAAAAGCCTAATATTTTACACAATTCACAGACCTTAGGGGGGGCCCGGGCCCCATGGGCCCTCCCCCTGTATCCGCCACTGATGCTAACTTAATTCTTTTGTTGATTTCTGGTAGTAGAGATCCCGAGCTGTGTATTAGTTGTCCTAAATATATATATTCTTCTACTATTTCCAGTGTTGTGTTATTTATTAGAATGTCTTTTCTTTCCACTAGATCGTTCGTTCGTTGTACATTACTTTAGTTTTTGCTAAATTCATTTTGAGACCCACTTTATTGGTGGCTGTATTTAGTTCATTAATTTGTGTTTGTAGTTCTTCAGGACTATTGACAATTAGGACTATGTCATCAGCGAATCTTAGATGGTTAAGATATTCTCCATTTATTTTTAATCCTTTCTTGGTCCAGTCCAATAGAGAGATACAAAAAATATTACCTGTACAATGTAACCATTGATGGTTTTAAAAAACATAAATACTAACACCCTTCTAATACTAAAAGTATCTATTTAACAGATAACGATTTATTATTACGTTTTTCCTCATAAACGTTGTCGGCTTTCTAGAATGGTGTCAAATTCACTACTGCTAGATCTTGATAGATAATATTTGCAAATTTAGTAAAACTCGGATTTTGTCTTGCAACTTTATTTGCAATTGCACTTTTTACTGTAACCTTATTTTGCAAATTGTCTTTAGCGATTTCCTCAAAACAGCGATATTGTTTTAGACATATATGTCGGTAAGAGCTACAACTTACAAACTGATCCCAACAATAGACTGATAGAAGAGTTGGACGCGTAAGTATGACATTTTCAATGTCACCTAGTATGTTGGTTATAGAATAGTGTTAATAAATTTAAATTGTAAAGTTGTTTTTATTTTACTATTTTTTTCTGCGTTTCGTTCTCTTCAAATTGTTTCGTTGTTTCCATCACATTTTAGAATTATTGCTAAAATGATATAAAACTAATATGTTTTATATATATTATTAGAAAGAGTGACTGTTGTAATAAAGAGAGTGTGAAAAATACAAACTTAATTTTAGAGTCCAGAAATATATCGGAGAGAGTAGTGTGGTGGCAGTTACGTTTGGTTTTCCACTGGATCTGAAGGGTCTTGTAACTAATGGTTGGAGTACGATATCACTGTTAAATCAATTAAGAAAACTTAGTTTCAGTGTATGTATTAAATATAATAATATAATTGAAACAATTAACTAAACATGCGTTTTAGATGATCGACTTTAGAAGAGAGGAACTACAGAAGGAGCCAGGTACTTACTTTATAGATCGTGTCGCATATACCGGGTGTTTCTCAAAAGTGGCTCATCACACCTATAACTTTTTTATTTTATTTTTCCAGATAAATAAACGAGGTTTGGTACGTTAGTAATATGACATAAATCAGGATTGATTAACGTATTCAATTGTTTTCGGTCACTTCCTGTTTCACCAGAAATTTCACTTTATTCCATAGAAAACGACACTATGAGTGGAATGACATATCATATATTATCTAAACTTTTGATTTTCGCTTTAAAAAAAATCGTATTTTTAATTTCAATCTAGAGTACCATGGCTGTGTAAAAATACTAATTTTAAATCAAGGAGCCTTGAAAAAATAGATTTGATCAAAGATATTTAAACTCGAGTTTAAATATCTTTGGATTTGATAGTCTAATGTTTTTCGTGTCTTGTTCTGGACGGTTAGAAGATGCCCAAATCGCATTTTTAATCATATCTCAATTTTTTCAGATGGATCAAGAGTGGCTCAGTAGTATATATTTAGAAAAGGCATTTTTACGAATAATTTGGTACCACAGTCTTGGTATTTCGAATCGAATTGTTACATTTATGGGCATGACATTCTAAAAATAAATAAAATAAAATGGTATATTTTTTAATTGACAATGTCAAAAGTTGGCACATTATATGTCATTCTATTCAGAATGTCATTTACTATCAAATGAAGTAGAAAAATATGGGGGTGCAATTTAAAAATCGTTGTAGTCATTTCCGGGGAAACAGGAAGTGACCGAAAGCCGTAATAAATTGAATACGCCAATCAATGCTAATTTATGTAATGTACTAACATACCAAATTTCGTATTTTTATTTAAAAAAGAAGAAAAAGTTATAGGGGTGAGCTATTTTTGTGAAATACCCGATATCAATGCACACTACAGGAATATCGTAAACCAGACGAGATATTTTACTACTCTACTATTTGCATGTTAGGAAATGTAAAAAATCCGATCACTTCCGAAGATATTATTTGTAAAAAACCGAATTTTCCCGATTTACAAAAATACAAATTTTTCGCATTTCCATCCAGGTGGGCAAAGAGTGAACGAGTTTTTTTAGTTGTAGGTTCCCAGTTATCTTTTCTGGATGCAATGATAAGCCGAGGTGATCTTTTTCATCCAAGCATTATGTCCAAAGAATTACTGGTTTTTTTATTAGCCGTAAGTAAAACTCTACTCGTACCTCGTATTATTAATATTTGTCTATTCATACCTGTCAGTCACGTCTCGTTTCCATTTCGTCAGTCACAGGTAATTTGATTTTTTTTATCCGTAAAGCTGAGTTTATATGCATCCGTTATGCGTCGTCCGTTGTTGCGTCACTCCAACAATATTCGAGTGTGAGCTGTCATTTCTTGAAATAAACCAATAAAATGAGAGCGCTCATATTTTGATATTATTAGAGTGACGGAGATGGAACGACGGACGACGTATTAGTGTGGGTTTACACGAATCCGTAATCCGTCGTTTCGTCTCACCAATCATATTTAAGTATGACCTGTTATTCCAACTCCCAGTGGATGATCCAATTCCCAGTGGATGACATACCAAGAATTTACAACTTTGAGAAACACCTCACTGTAGTATTGAGTAATAAAAAGGATTGGAAGAAAGAAACGCTTACTCAGCATATAAAAGACCATACCATAACGTGGTATACTGATGCTTCCAAAACCAAAGCAGGGACAGGGATAGGAGTATTTGGGCCGAAAACTAAACACCCCGAACCAATGGGCATCTACCCCAATATCCTTCAGGCAGAAATTTACGCTATCGAAAGATGCGTACAATTTATCTTAGATAGGAACTATCGAAAACAGAATTATTATTTATTTATATCCGATTAGAAGATAGATTAGATTAGAAAGAAGATTAGATTAGATTCTAAAAAAAAATTCTTCTTATATCCGATAGTCAAGCAGCACTTAATGCGATCAACTCAGTAACCATCACTTCGAAGTTGTTCAAAGAATGCCTAGAGAAGTTCAACAAATTAGGCAAAGAAAATAAAGTCCTCCTACTCTGGGTGCCTGCTTATCAAAAGATAGAAGGCAATGAAAAAGCAAATGATCTAGCTTGGAAAGGAGCGAACACTCCACTAACTGAACCAGAACCGTTCTGTTTTCCAAACGGGAACCAACTGAAAGCGGAACTGAAGAATCTGGAAGACTCCATCCGTAACTTGGAATGGGTGTCCTCCAACGGCCTAAGACACTCGAAAAAGTTCTTCAGAACTTACGACCGAGAAAAATCAAAGGTTCTCCTTGATTTAAGTAAAAACATTCTTCGGATTGTCACGGGTTTTTGACAGGACATGTCTCCTCAACGAACACCTCAGTAGGCTGAAGCTGAGAAACAACGGCGAATGCAGCTTCTGTGGGGAAAATGGGAAAACACCAGAAAACCTTATCACTGAGTGCGCCGAGACGACGACCATTCGTGCCATGAACTTTGGTACGGCTGATGTCGAGGATGGAGAGCTGGTCTCTGTGGAGCCGTCTCAGATACTAGCTTTTGTTAAAGCCCTGAGACCGTATGATGAGTTATAACTCGTTATAACTGAAGAAAGGGGCACAACCAATAGATCTATAAGATCGCGGTGATTAGCTCCCCTCCTAAACATTCTACATTCTACATGAGTTGTTATTTTTGTAATAAACCAATAAAATTGCTTAAAATCAACGACAGACGACGCATGATGGATGCGAGTAAACCCACACATGAATGAATAGACGTCGCAGATTGACGGAATGAGACTTAAGTTTGATTTTCATACATCCGTTGATTTTCCATTAAAAATACCGTTGAGTGTCATTATGAACATTAAAAAAGAATTTTAAATAATATCCTTAAATTATATTCACACATGTTTGTCACGTCTCAGTTCTGTTTTCGTACTGCCTAAAGCTTGATTTTCATGCGTGCGTTATCCGTTGATAGGTATACGATGGTTCGGCGGCGCTCTGATTGGTCATAGCGTTTTCCTGCCACTTTTCATCCGTAAATTTTTTACTCCAGCCCTTCAACGGAGAAAGATCGTACGATAACGGACATTTTGACACTTTTTTGACAAATCTAATCTAATCTTAAAAAAAGTATATAATAGTATAAAGTATAAGAGCTAGCACCGTCGGGAAAAACGAGAAATTTAAGAAAGTTGGTTCTGTAATAAATCTTTTGCTATGCTCTCCTGACCAAAGTGCGGGCCGTCTGGCTGCCGGTAGACTACTGCGCATCACATCTGTACCGAGTATCCCATTTTCATGTGTTTTATGGGATTTGTCGTAGAGATACAATGATGCGATTTTTATATTACTATGTTACTTTTTTATGAAACTAAATATGCTCCACATAGGTTTGTCCTAGCCTCCTTAGTTCCTAAAATATAGGGCGAATTTGTGATGCGTAGTAGTGAACAGATGTTGAATACAGATATGGGGGGGATGCGCAGTAGTGAACAGAACGTCTACCAGCAGACGGTCCGCACTCTGTTCAGAAGAGCATAGCAAAAGATATATTAAAGAACCAGCTTTCTTAAAATTATCTCTCGAAAACGTTGCTAGCTCATAGATTATAAAAACAACGAAATCGTCATGGAAATGAAAATATAAAAAGACACCAATCACAAGAAAATCGTATATCCAATGAACGGAGGCATGAAAATGCGATAAATTTAAAAACTACGTAATTTTCTAATCAGTCGAAGTCTTTAAATTCAACCAATAAAATTAATATCGTATCATCGTATCGTCAGACAACGGATGTATGAAAATCAAACTTAAGTCTCATTCCGTCAAGGCTTTTCCGGTCTCAGGGCTTTAACAAAAGCTAGTATCTGAGACGGCTCCACAGAGACCAGCTCTCCATCCTCGACATCAGCCGTACCAAAGTTCATGGCACGAATGGTCGTCGTCTCGGCGCACTCAGTGATAAGGTTTTCTGGTGTTTTCCCATTTTCCCCACAGAAGCTGCATTCGCCGTTGGTTCTGGTGGACTATATTTCACAAAGCTTTTCCTTAATGAAAAATAATGATAATACTGACTAAATACAATTTTAGGCCACAGACACTACCGGAAACGCATTGACTTTTATTTTTACATTATTGGGAATGCATCCAGAAATTCAGGTAAGTTTAAAAAAGTAACAGGATCTTTGGGGTAGGTATTTCATTTTGATTATAATTTTTTATTAAAGCAAAAAGTATACGAAGAGGTAATAACGGAGATTGGCCGTGATGCACCTATCGAAACAGATCATTTACCAAAATTGAAATATACTGAGAGAGTTATATCCGAAAGTATGAGGTTGCTTCCGCCTGTGCCTATGGTGGCCAGATATCTTAATAAGGACATTCAAATTGGTAAGCAGCAGCAGAGAAGCTTCCATTGATGCGGACGATGCGTCGCATCTTTTTAAAATATTGTAATACGTTTTTATTTAAAAAAGTCACTGAGATCTACTTTAATAAATTAAAATTCTCAGTAAATTTATACAAATAATTAAATTCAATTTCATTTATTTAATGTGTGTATTGGTCGCGAGCTTTATAGATAACGCTAAGATCTACGCTAAAAATATCTCGACAGCGCGATGATGCGACTGTCCTCGTTACATCTTTAAAGCCGCCGAACGCGAGCCGGGGTCAGCAAACTTTCCGGCCGCGATTACTTCCACCCTTGATTATAGCTTCCACCTTTCGCTGTTGTGAGTGATACCGATTTTTAAACACATCTCGTTCGCGGTATAAAAAAAAAATATAGTACCGCGTCGCGATGACTGATTCTGAGTGCAGCAGTAAAATAGAAATAATTTTGCATGGTTTGTGTTGGTAAAACCAAAAAAAAACAAAAAATAAATAAAAAACTATTGTAGAAGGACCTCCAAAGCATATTTTGAATACACTGGTCTGCAAAAAAATGTTTTTTTTTTCTCCTTCTTGTTTTCATGCATAAATTCATCGTATTTTGTGCTCTACACGGAATCTGACATACAAATACCTAAGTAAAAAATGTCTATACCTATGTGGCGGATTCATCTCTCCAAAAAAATCCTTTATGGGTATTTCGCCACTGCACTGCAAGAAAATCTACAAAATAAAATAGTTATTTTTTGTAAACACACTGCGTTAAATCTAAACGGACGCTGTTTGTCAGAAGTTATGTTTACAGTAATACAAATTTGCCTAACAAAGAAAAAAATGCTTAACGTTTCGGAAAGTTATCTCTTTCCGTTGTCAGAAGTAAAAAAATACAAAGAATAAAGATAAAAACTATTTAAAATATTTAAAATTTAACTATTCGAGAACACTTTACTTTTTTAAAACAGATACATCTAAAAGAAACCGTTGACGTTTTGTTAAAATGGCATTATACTGTTAAAATGACATTATTATATAATAGCCCAGGAGTTAAACTTTTTCTTAGTGGCCAAGTTTTTATTTTGCATTTATTTATTTTTTCTTTTTATTTTATGTTTTTCTCTTGCGCGACTGTTCCACCCACAAAGAGAACAGTAAAACTTTGTGTATCCTCCTTGTAATTCAGTAAGTATAGCGACGACTTTTAAATCAGCACAAATATTCTATAGGTATTGAGAATATTCAATGTTTTCTAAATCTAAAAAAATATCGAAGAATCTAGACGTGATGGAAAAAATCGACCAACTTGGATAGATTCAGAATATATGAATTGTCTAAAAATTTTAAAGGAGGATTTCATTGCAGACCAGTGATATTAATATTAAATTAAAATTGTGTATTGGTTATTTTAGTGAAAATGTTTATAAATAAGGTTACATGTTCGTAATAAATTTCGATAATACAACGCATATTAAAGTATCATAGAGTTGTATAAATATAAATGGTAACTTCTACATTTATACCTATGGACTTACCATTCCATAGAGTTCCATCATTATTGATCACTTTGTATATTTTAGGAGACAAAACATTTCCTAAAGGAGCCAATGTAATAGTATATACCCTTGCTCTACACCGTAACAGTAAATATTGGCCGAATCCAAAAAAGTTTGACCCAGACAGGTTTCTACCAGAAGAAATCGCTAAAAGACCACCATCTTGCTACATACCGTTTTCAGGAGGACCACGGAATTGTATAGGTACCTACATCAATCTATCAGCATCATCTGATAAAAATCACCAAAATCGGTCTACTAGAACAAAATATATTGAACTGATGATGTATTTTCAATACAGTCAAAAACCAGTCTATTCCTTTTCATAATAATGTAATCTTTTATAGGCAAACTATACGCAATGATGTCTATGAAAGTGGTGGTAGCCAATGTGATTAGAAATTTTCGGATATCATCCAAATATCGCTCAGTTGATGAGATGGAGATGAGAGGCTTAATCACAATGAGGACAAAAGACGATATTGACTGCCATTTCTCACCCAGAAAATAAATAGACATTTTAACATTAATGTTATTATTGTAAAGCTTGATTTTCATGCATCCGTTATCCGACGATACGATGATACGATATTGATTTTGTTGGTTGAATTTAAAGACTTCGATTGGTTAGAGACAGTTAACCAATCGAAGTCTTTAAATTCAACCAATAAAATTAATATCGTATCATCGTATCGTCGGACAACGGACGCATGAAAATCAAGCTTTACTCTGTAATCCCATAAAGTGATACGAAGATAAATAAATATAATTTTGTGATATCGTCAATATTTGGGACATACTATAAAATTGTTTTCATCTATAGAGTTTAGGGTTGCCAGATTTTATAGTTAAATACTAGAAGAGCAAAAAAAGCGAGAGCAAATAAAAAATGGACAGAGATGGAATAATATTAAACATAAGAGCATGTATAGTTTATTCAAAAATATTTAAACTCAAGTTGAGTTTAAATATCTTTGAGTTTATTACTCACGCCTATTTAAAAATAAACATATTTCTTTAAATTCAAAACATTCAATAACAATGGACATATTCGGCATCGCACCTCGTGCTGACTAACTGAAATTTAAATTTCGCGCTGGCGATTCAAGTGGTAGGTTAGGTGTACTGTGTAGGTGGTCTGTGCTGTAAACACAGAGGAATAAGAAAGCGGAGTCGCTCACAGAATATACTACCGAAAAAGAAGCCCAAGTTCCTTGTAATAAATCGGTTCCATTTTCGTAACGCCATCTCTCGACAAAGTTGACATTTACAGGTTAGCCAAAGGGGTGCGGGGCCGGGGGGAATTGTAAAATACACTTTTTTATTTTAATTATTTTTATTCGCTATTTGCAATTTTATTTTTAAAACATATTATCTGAAACAATCACATAATATGTCTTAAAAATAAAATTACAAACGGAAACAAAAGGAAATAAATAATCTGAAAATCTACAAAGTTTATTGATAAAAAAGTTAGGCTATGCAAATTGATATATTAAGTATAACCTCTTTGGTATAACATTGTTAAACAAACATTAACAAATCATAACATATCAGATCATAGAACTAAAAAAAGTACTATTACATAAAAACAGGTAATACAATACTTCAAAATTAATTTTAACATAATATCAGAACCGAAAAATCAAATTGCAAACACAACCACACTTATCCAAACAGAAAAATGCACAAATTACAAAAAGTACCACAATCTAAGATGGCGGGCGGCTAGGTGAACCTCTTTTTGCAACAGCTGTAGCATCTCCCCTCTCTTATTCCTCCGTGGCTGTAAAAAATATAAAGTTTATTTATTTCCTGACTGTCATTCGTTGTGACACTTTAGTTTTGTATTTACGAGATTTTGGTTTAAATAAATACTATTGTCAAAAGCTTGAACATATTTATTTGGAGTCGGACATTGTATTTTTTAGAACCTCTTTCATTGCAAAGTATACAAGATAGCTTAATAGCCGTAAAAAAATCATCGCAACTTTATTAGAATATTTTTAACAGGAAAGCGGTAGTAATGACCCTTCATGTCCCTTAAGAAGGTGAGTTTTGTTGATATAAATAGTAACTGTTTATATAATTATAATTAATTTATTTTTCTTTCCTAAAATATTTTGATTAAAAGAAAATATATAAAAGTGGGCAACGCTGTGCCGGTCAAGCTTAATCACGTGACTAAAAGTTTATTTGGTATGAACTGTAGGAAATTATGCCCCCAAAAATTTTCACTGATTGCCATTTCAAAGACTACTGTGACACTGTTTTTTTTTTCAATTCTAATGCATGTTAATAATAATGAGCATATTTGAGCTTAAATCATTATCATTATAACCTGGATATCCGATTTTTTTAATATAATTTCATGGTATTTAAGCATTGTAAATCAAATTATTCGTATTATTCTTTTTTTTTCAATTTTATGTTTATTTAGATTTACCATATAATTATTACATTGTTAAAATAATGAATGTTTTGAATTATTTAAACATTAATAACACAGTTAAAATTACCATCAAGTAGGGGAGCTAAAATATCAATATATTTATTGTTATTTTATATCTCTGCACTATGGTATGGTTAAAAATATCACTAAGAGCAGGTATATTAGCAATTTTAGCTATAATTCTACGTACTGCATCGTACTGATCAAAGCCACCCAATGATTTTTGTTACGCATTTTACCGTTGAAAGAGCTATATGAAATAATACCACAGATTATACAGATTATAAACTTTGTTTTTTCTTTATGGTTTTTCGTGGTTCCAATTTTCGGAATCGGACACTAGTTTGGTTACAAGTTTGCGCACATAGCACGCCCACTTATGGCCTCTAAAATTGTGCACAGTTATTAGAGAAATATCGGAAAACCGAATAGCGTCATGCAATATTTACGCGTACCTTATCATGGTTACGATATGCGTGAGTCAATTTTTACCGCAACACCCGCTAACAACGTTACCGCCTGATGTAATTTGCGGATCAATTATACCAAGCGCTATTTCTAAATAACGTTTAAAAATTGCTTAAATGGGCACATGCGGGTATTTGACAACCGGGGCCGGCCGGCGAGATCTTTTATTTTAGGTTATGTTTGAATTGTTTTCAATTATTACTTTAGTTTTATTAGGTAATTTGATATTTAAGTAGCTGGGATTAGTTTTAATTAAATAAATATGGCCCAAAATATGGATTCCACCTCTTCCAATATTAAATAACCTATAAAGAGGCTTAGGTTTACAGGAGATGACGACTTAGCCCTTCTAAGAGAATTTGTTGCTTGTTGCCCTAAACTCACTGGCAGACGTTGAACAACAAAGCACTGAAAATAAGCACTTTAGCCATTTAGTTTTAAAATACCTAGACACAATTTCAAAGTTTTACAATTTCAAAGTTTTAAATTCAAAGTTAGGTCTGGTTAGGTTAAGTTTAAATAGCGGACGCCACGCGAACAGAATTCTTTCCGATCCGATAACTATAAATGAAGAGAGTTAATACCACCTCACGTAAAGGAAATAACACCTGGCCTTATTAACGTCCATGCACGCTATTCGGTTTAGCGATATCTCTCTATTACGCTGTTTATTGTTATTTTACGCGAGTTTATTTTTGCGCACAGGAAATTTTACTCGTTTGCACATCGCTTTGAATAAGAAGACTAAGGAAGGATTATATCAAAAATCTTAGGTACACCGCGATGGGCCTCAAATATGGCCGACTTAAATTCCGGTTTATCAGTGTCGTTCTAATTTTATTTAAAAAATGTAAAACTATGATGTAGGGTAGACGTGGGGTAGACTCAATAATTTGTTGTTTTATTTTACGTTGTGAATAAATGTTGGTAGTTATTAAAATTGTTATAAAAATATATAATTCTAATAAAAATAGATAAGTTATAATAAGTATTTATTACCACAAACATCCGATACGCTATTGAAGCAGGTAAGTCAAATTAACGTATCTAAATTCTTTGACATTTAATCTTTGACAAGTAATAAATAAAAGCTAAAATGCAAGAAAAATATATAATTTAGTTAATTTAAGTGAATTTCATAAATGATCGGTTTACTACACGTATGTATATTATATAGTCACTTACTAGCGAAAAGTTGTTCCATTATTTCACTCAATTTTTGCCGAGATCTGCCGCACGCTACACAACCAACTATTTTAGTCTTTTCGATAAATCGCGATAGTGTCACTGTTAATTTAAGTGCTGCCACAATTTCCATCTAGATTTACTACCTTTATACAACTATCAGTAGTAGAATAAATAATAAATAACATAAAATAAGCTCCGTAAAGACTGACAAATTCACAAAATTTCAAGTCAAATTCAAATGTGTCAAATGAATCGTCAAACAGAACTGTCAAGGATCCCCACCCTAGAGTGCTTTTATGGCGCTTTTTCCGCCCACCATGCCCACCAAGGATATACATGGACAGCATTATGCTCCTTCCTTAGTCTTCTTATTCAAAGGCACATCGTCATAAAAAACAATTTTTGTACCACGAATTAGGGACAAGATTTTTATCTGTATACTTATAGGATACCTGCTTAATCTGTGATAATACTGCGTGTATCTGCGAAGCCATTAAAAATTTTGAAATTCTTTAAATACAAAACATGTTCATTTCTGAACTCTGCATCTTATAAAAAAAAATAATATACAGGGTGTTCCATTAAAAAAAAAGAAAAAATATTTTATATTTTAGAATGGTTGGCGTAGAATTTTGAACACCCTGTATGATTTAAGATTACGATGTTTATAGCACAAAGTAAGTATCGACCATCTAAAGTAATACTTAAGGTTGAAAAATATATATATTTTTATTTACCTATTAATATCTCTGAAATTATCGAAATATATTTACTCATATCTTAGAATCATGTAAAGTGATCTGAACGGAAGCCAAAAATGCAATAATATACAGGGTGTTCCATTTAAAAAAAATTATCCCGGTCCACTCACAATTTTTTGAGCCACCTATAGAAGTCAAAATATTTTCCTGAAATACATCCTCGTTAAATATAGTAGTATTAATTAAGTGCATACTTTAGGTATGCACTTAAACAAAATTTCCAAGTTTTTTATTCTAGGAGCTCCACATGCCCGACTCACTATTGCCGGACCCTAAGTAAGTTTTGTTGAAAATTAAAAAAAAATTGTAATTTTTAGATATTTTAGATACATATAGACTACAGACTGGATCGGCTGAAAAATTAGGATTGCCGTGCAACGTGTGGCTCGGACATAATAATCTGTATTTTACTGACGATGCAGAAGAAATTCGAGTGTTCCTAAATCACCCAGACAGTTTGCATAAGTCATTTTTGTACGATGGAATGAGAATGGTTTTTAAGAACAGTCTTCTCTTTCAACCTGGTAAAACTGATAATATAAATGTTATTTTTTTAGTTTAGTAAGTCTGTTCAATGGGCCAGGGATAATTTTGACAGGCTACATCTACAGATCTCTGTATTAAAATGACAGACACAACTGTATTGTCATGTATTCTTTCGTTATCCCCCAAACCCAGCAGCCTTCAGATAAATCTTAGAGAGGCACTATTGGAAACAAGAAATAGCCATCTTATCTGATAGTCCAGCAATGATCTTCATTTCATAGTCATTGCCATAACAAACCAAATTTCGCTTTTTTTTTTTCTGCAAAAATAAAAAGTTATAAGGATGAGCGAGGGGATGAGCCATTTTTGAAAAACAGCCGGTATAGCCTGTCCAACGAATCAGGGAAGGATTTCGACAGATCACATCCAAAAAATGACACTGTTAGGGATCCTCCTATTGAACAGACATAATAACAAGATGTATTGGCAGAATCTTTACGACTTTGTTTTCATAGATAAAAAATCTAGTTTTTACTAGTGATATCTAGTTTTTTTTTATATAAACCATTTGTTGTTTTTAGTCAATATTTGGAAAGGACGCCGAAAGTTTATTTCGAAGAGTTTCAGTCAGCCCATCCTCAATTCCTTTGTTCAATATTTCAACGAAAACAGCAATGTATTGGTGAAAGTGCTGAGGAATTTTAACCACGACCTTTATAGTGTATTTGGTCGTTATACTTTCGATACTTTTACTGGTAAATCTATACCTATACTAATATTGTGCTAATATATAAAATCCTTAAGCGACTGACATACTGATTAATCACGATCCTGCTCAAACCACTCAACGTAAGAAGCTCAATTTTGGCATGCATGTTGATTCTAGGATGTAGAGGTTCGATAAGAAGGGATTTATCGAAATTCCAGTTCCAAGAGGGTGAAACCACCCCTCAAACATTAATATTACAATATTTTTTATTTAAAAAACGGCCAAGTTTCGGAAAAAACGCTTAAACACGTATATTTTATTTTGTTTTTTAAATATTTTAAGATTTTTAAAAATGTATACAGGGTGTTTCGAAAAATCTGGCCATTGATTAATTACGATTCTCCTTAAAGCGCTTGACGTAAAAAGCTGATTATTGGAAAACAGATTGACTTTAGGGTGTAGATTTCCGATAAGAAGGGATTTTTTGAAACTCGAATTCTAAGGGGGTGAAACTATCCCTTAAATATTAAAATATTTTTTATTTAAAAACCGATGAGTTTTTCGGAAAAACTCTTAAACACGTATATTTTATTTTGTTGTTTTACATATTTTAAAATTTTTTATAAATTTATACAGGGTGTTTCATAAAATATGACCATTGAATAATCACGATTCTGCTTAAACTGCTTGACGTTTAAAGCTGATTTTTGGCAAACGGATTGACTGTGGGGTGTAGAGGTTCGATAAGGAGGGGTTTCTCGAATCTCAAATTCCAAGAGGGTGAAAACGCCCTCAAATATAACAATATTTGTTATTTAATAAACGGTTAGTCTTTCGGGAAAACGCTTGGACAAGCATATTTTATTTGGTTTTTTTCTCGGTTTTTTTATATATTTTGAAATTTTTTAAAAAATCATACAGGGTGTTCTAAAAGTTGGGTAATTTCTTAACCACGGTTCTGCTTAGACTGCTTGACGTAAAAAGCTTATTTTTGGCAAACGGATTTTTCGAAAGTCAAATTCCAACGAGATGAAACTACCTCTCAAATATTACCAAGTTATATAATAATATCGCCATATCGTTTTTCTCATGATGACATAAATGTGAGAAAATTTTATCCAGTTTGTATGTTAATGGAAATTCTTGCTTTGCTTCATCATCACCATTACAAATGATTAATTCGACGCGAACGAAGTCGCTGGTACACGCTAGTAACTACTAAAACGCTAAAGGAATACACATATTTTTTAAGAGAAATATTTTATATTTAAGATAGTTATATAAGTGTTTTTTCTAAATGTTCCAGAAGCAATAGTTGGTAGGAATTACCACCTGCAAACTGATTTAAACAACAAGCTTTTGGAGGAAATGGATGTGTAAGTGGATAATTTTTAATAAATATGTAGTCTTTGAGAGCACAAGTCCAATGTTCGAAATACTGCATGTAAACAAAAGAAATAATGAACATACATTTTAAAGAGATTATAAATTTCTGAATACATTTTTGACATCAATACAAAACATTTATTTTTTCTTTTAAATTTCAGGATTCAACATTTCTTAGGCTGTGAGTATTTCGTGCGGGGTTGTTGTTTTGGCGTTCTCATGAGAATCAAGGATTTTCTATGTCATGGATGGCATGCACTTTGGGTTATACTTAAATTTAGAAGATTTTTAGCTGATGTAAAGTACCTATTAAAAAAACTTTAAACAATAATTATTATGATTACATATATTTATTTTTTTAGAAAGTTCGATGCAGGATGGCAGAATTTGATAAATGTCCAGGTATGATATTGTAGAATGTAGAATGTTTAGGAGGGGAGTTAATCACCGCGACCTTATAGATCTATTGTGTGTTCCCCTTTCTTGAGTTATAACGTGTTATAACTCATCATACAGTCTCAGGGCTTTAACAAAAGCCAGTATCTGAGACGGCTCCACAGAGGCCAGCTCTCCATCCTCGACATCAGACGTACTAAGGTTCATGGCACGAATGGTCGTCGTCTCGGCGCACTCAGTGATAAGGTGTTCTGGTGTTTCCCTATTTTCCCCACCAAATGTGCATTCGCCGTTGTTTCTCAGTTTCAGCCTACTGAGGTGTTCGTTGAGGAGACAGTGTCCTGTTAGAAACCCCGTGACAATCCGAAGATTGTTTTTACTTAAATCAAGGAAAACCTTTGATTTTTCTCGGTCATAAGTTCTGAGGAACTTTTTCGAGTGTCTTAGACCGTTGGAGGACACCCATTCCAAGTTACGGATGGAGTTTTCTAGATTCTTCAGTTCCGCTTTCAGTTGGTTCCTGTTTGGAAAACAGAACGGTTCTGGTCCAGTTAGTGGAGTGTTCACTCCTTTTCTAGCTAGATCATTTGTTTTTTCATTGCCTTCTATCCCTTGGTGAGCAGGCACCCAGAGTAGGAGGACTTTATTTTCTTTGCCTAATTTGTTTCTCTAGGCATTTTCTTTGCCTAATTTGCTTCTCTAGGCATCCTTTGACCAACTTCGAATTGATGGTTACTGAGTTGATCGCGTTAAGTGCTGCTTGACTATCGGACAGGATGGCAATTTCCTGTTTTCGATAGTTCCTATCTAAGATAAATTGTACGCATCTTTCGATAGCGCAAATTTCTGCCTGAAGGATACTGGGGTAGGTGCCCATTGATTCGGAGTATTTAGTTTTCGGCCCAAATATTCCTCTCCCTGTCCCTGCTTTGGTTTTGGAAGCATCAGTATACCACGTGATGGTATGGTCTTTTATATGCTGAGTAAGCGTTTCTTTCTTCCCAATCCTTTTTATTACTCAGTACTACAGTGAGGTGTTTCTCAAAGTTGTAAATGTATGATATTACTGTCTAGACTATATAGTCTATAGTGAAGCAAATTTTCCTCTTTCATTCAATTAAATTTAGTAAGTGTTTGATGTTTGAAGTTTAATCAGTTATTTTGTTAGTTGTAGATTCTCAGTTATCATTTGTGGACGCCATGTTGAACAGAAAAGACATCTTTCCTCGGAAAATAATAGAAACGGAGTTTATATTATTTGCATCAGCGGTAATATTAAAATATATTGCTATACATATATAACCACATTGTTTAAATTATAACACAAAACCAATTAGTCAAACCATTTATACAACAATAATAATACAAAAATACGCTTTATTATAAAACTTTTAAAATACATTGGTGCGCAGCAACTGTTTATATTAATTGGAATAACATTTTAGGCTACCGACACGACTGGAAATTCATTAGTATTTATATTTACGTTACTGGGTATGTATCCAGAAATCCAGGTGAGTTTCCAAGCACAATTATAAATTTTTATATCTATTAAATTATTATTATTAAACCAAAATAAAATTATGAATATACTGCCTAATTCAGTTGATCTTGGAAGGGTATTGGGTCTTTAGTTAATCTTTGCCTTGGCATTAAATCAGAATTAAATGAATTAAATATAAAATAACTATTAAACAGTATTCTGTCATACGGTGTTGTCATCAATAACTGGTTTTACCCCAGTAAGCATCTACCGCGTGGTATACATAAAAAGTAATAATCTGGAAAAAGTGGTAGAACTTTAAAAGTGTTAAAAATAAAATGACAAAAAAAGGAAAATGTAAAAAAAAAGATAAATCTATACCATCTTATATGTATAATTGCTTAGATGTACCCGAAAAAACCAGTGTTACCCACAGTTTAACTTCTAGATAGACAAAATTACTCCTTATTTTATCATGTATACAGGGTGGCGCACCTTATTCGCCTCGGTTGATTGTATGAAAACGGAAAGATGCAGAAACAAAATATTTTATTTAGGGGAACTGTGCACAATTTAAAATTATTTTGAAATATACAGATTGTTTCAGAACTAAGATCCATACCAAAGTTATATTTTTTCTTATGGAACACCCGGTATTTTATTTCATTTTTGGATTCTTGAGCACAAAAAAGGCATTTATTATAAGGATTAAATATGTTTAAAATCTTTAGTTTTTGAGATATTTCAATTTTTTAACACCCTATACATTACTTTTCAGAATTAATTCTTGTACTGAGTTTAAAAGTAAAGATATAAACTTTACTGGAAAATGCTATTGCTTCCTTAAATTTATACAGGGGTATCAAAAATTGCTGATTTAATTTAAGGATATATTTTACATAAAAACTTCGTTATTTCAAATACAACACCCTGTATTTTCTATGATAAATTGAAGCAGACTCAAATACTCTTTCAAACTATATTAGGGTTTTCTATACCTATCTAGCTCAGATTTTGAATAAAGAACAATTTTTCAATAAAATGGCAACCAAGAGGGCTAGTGTCGTCATGGCAGTTTTTTTATTGACAGTTAGTAGCTATTTTCAAAATCGAAATTAGTGTATGGACTTATTTAAATTTATACCAGTTTACTTTTATTTAATTTACCTACAATAGTTTAATAAATAATATTTATTAAATATGTATTTATTATTCTATCAAGAAAACCGAAGAAGTAGTTCTTTGATGTATTTTACGATGACTTGTAGATATATGGATTTTCTAGAAAAGAGACAATTACGGCAAATTCATTTTCTTCACTTCCAACGACAGGTTTCTGCCTAACAGGTTTTTTATAAACCACACTACCAGCTCTGCGAAATAGGGTAAGTAATTTTCAGAGGAACGCTTATCAGGAAGAATTCTATTTTTGGATACCTTTGAGCTTTGAGCATAAGTTCTTGAGGCCAAGAAGCAATTTTCTTCAGAAAATAAAATCACTAGAAACATATCCATTCGTTCCGCCAGCAGATGCTGCTTTATTTCTCTTGATAAAATAATGAATACTTATTTATTAAACTATTGTAGATTGTAGGTAAATCTAAGCAAACTGTTATAAATTATAAATATGTAATAATGTCCATAAACTAATGTCGACTTTGAAAATAGTTGATAACTGTCACTAGAAAATTGCCATGGCGACAGCAGCCATCTTGATTGCGATTTTAATTAAAAATCGCTTTTTATTCAAAATCTGAGCTAGATAGGTATAGGAAACCCTAATATAGTTTGAAAGAACATTTGAATCTGCTTCGGTTTATTTTAAAAAGAGTGTTGCATTTGAAATAACGAAGTTTTTATATAAAATAAATCCTTAAACTAGATCAGAAATTTTTGACACCCCTGTATAAATTTAAGAAAGCAATGCCATTTTTCAGTAAAGTTTATTTCTTTACCTTTAAACTCAGCACAAGAATTAATTCTGAAAAGTAATGTATAGGGTACATGTCAATGTAGTATTGAGCAATAAGAAGGATTGGAAGAGCGAAACGCAAAAGCATAACTTGGTATACTGATGCTTCCAAAACCAATACGGGAACAGGGATCGGAGTGTTTGGGCCGAGAGCTAATTACTCCGAACCAATGGGCACTTACCCTAGTATCCTACAGGCAGAAATCTACGCTATCGAGAGATGCGTACAACTTATCTTAGATAGGAACTATCGGAAACAAGAAATAGCCATCTTATCTGATAGTCAAGCAGCGTTAAAGGCGATCAACTCAGTATCAATCAATTCGAAATTGGTCAAAGAATGCATAGAGAAGCTGAATAAATTAGGCAAAGAAAACAAAGTCCTCCTACACTGGGTGTCTGCTCACCACGGGATAGAAGGCAATGAAAAAGCAAATAATCTAGCTAGGAAAGGACCGAACACTCCACTAACTGGACCAGAACCGTTCTGCTTTCCAAGTGGTAACCAACTCAAGGCGGAACTCAAGAACTTGGAAGATTCCATCCGCAACCTGGAATGGAAATCTTGCAATGGTCTAAGACACTCGAAGAAGTTTCTGAGGGCTTATGATCAAGAAAATCACAGATCTTCCTGGGTCTGAGTAAGAACAATCTTCGGATTGTCACGGGGTTTTAACAGGACACTGTCTCCCTCAATGAACACCTCAGTAGATTGAAACTAAGAAGAAACGGCGAATGCAGATTCTGTGGGGAAGATGGGGAAACACCAGTACACCTCATCACTGAGTGCGCCCAGACGACAACCATTCGTGCCATGAATTTTGGTACGACTGATATTGGAGATGGAGAACTACCCTCTATAAAACCGTCCCAGATACTGGCTTTTGTCAAAGCCCTGGGATTGTATGATGAGTTATGATTCAAGAAAAGGGGACACAATGGATCTGTAAGGTCGAAGTGATTAACCCCCTTCCCACTCATTCTAAATTCTAAAATTCTAAAAATGTATAGGGTGTTAATAATCAATTCTATAGTAGCATGCAAATTTAAATATCTTTAAATATCTCAAAAACTAAAAAATTGAAACATATTTAACTCTTATAATAGATGACTTTTTTTGGGTCTAAGAATCCAAAAATGAAATAAAATACCGGGTGTTCCATAAGAAAAAATATAACTTTGGTATGGATCTTAGTTCTGAAACAACCTGTATATTTCAAAATAATTTTAAATTGTGCATATTGCTTCCCCGTATATCCATAAAATATTTTGTTTCTACATCTTTCCGTTTTCGTATAATCAACCGAGGCGAATGAGGTGCGCCACCCTGTATAAAATTATATTAACAGAAAAATTAAACTTTGGTACGCCACTGTGTAGTCTATTAGTGGGGCTATTTGTCAGTAAAAATTTTAATAATCCATTATGCGAATCAAAGGATATGGTATCAAAAAATATAATACAATTTATAGTGACTTGTTTCGTATATCCACCAGTGGTAATATCGGCCTTTATTTATTTAACTTCCGTGAGAAATTTTGAAATGATCTTTTGAAAAAAATGATCTTTTTTGGATTTTCTTTCTTGTAAATTTAATCTACTACCTATGTTTTTATATTATTAACAAATAACTAAAAACATTCCAAACACATTTTCAAACATTTTTTTCGCGAAAAAAAAACTCATAATTGTGTTTTTGGGGTCGATAATTGCGTTTTGGGGAAGTATACCCCTAAAAATATTTTCATTTAAGACTTACCCTCTATATTATAATTTAATTTATAGGAGAAAGTATTTGAAGAAATAGTAACTAATATTGGTCGCGATGAACCTATTGAGGTAGACCATTTAACCAAATTGAAATATACTGAACGAGTTATTTTTGAATGCATGAGATTATTACCAAGTGTGACCGAAGTAAGCCGATATATCTCTAAAGACATAAAAATAGGTAAGTATTGTATGATCGTAAAAAAGCAGTCAAATTGATTTGGTCACTTTTATCGACGATGATCCTTATACTGTTTTAACAGCGATCGTCATTTCCAAGTCAACTATGACGCCGTTTTGAATGTTTTAATTTTAAAATTCAATGTCAAAATCATTGTTCAGTAGAAGGGGCTAAGTGGGACATTGAAGGGAAAATGGCCATCAATTGGCCATTTTCTTCAAGTTATTGGCCGGATATTATCGTAAATGGCCTGTATTATTCATGGTCTGTAGCACTTATACACTTTTGTTTTTAAAAATTCTAACAAATAAAATCTCACACACTCTGAATGAACAACATGTATCCAAATTGGTGCTCCAGTATAAATATCTTTTTTTAGGAGACAAAACCTTTCCAAAAGGAACCAATATATCGATATACATTCTTGGTGTTCATCGAAATAGCAAATATTGGCCGAATCCTGATAAGTTTGATCCAGACAGATTTCTACCAGAAGAAATTGCCAAAAGGCCTCCTTATGCCTATATTCTGTTCTCTGCAGGACCTAGGAACTGCATAGGTAATATTTTAATGTTGATGATCCTACAGTCAAACATCTTTATTATGAAGTTGACGATTACCAATAACAACTTTTAATCTGTAAATATTCTAAACTCACTTGATCATAAAAATTTTTGATCAGATGTACATTTTTGTATTGCAAAATTAGCAAAATTAATCACTAATTCACCACAATGCAATACAAAGTAAAGTAAAGATTTCAGTTAACGTCTCCTTTTTACTGCCAGGGCTAATCTGGACAGGGCCTACTTTGTTTACGCGGAATCCGAACCGCGGTCCTCGGCCATATTATGGTCAATGGCCTACCGACTTGGCAAGTGTCTAAATCGACTCTTACTTACGAGATATCCGATCTCATCCGGCCTCGAACCGGCGTGAATGAGCAGTGTGTGTCAATAGATTTTACACTTTTGCCTTTTTTTGGACAACAGCACGATACAGAGTTTCGAACCGGTCATCCGTCCATCCACTAGTATCGCCTTACGTCGCTTAACTTCGGTGTTCTAATGGGAACCGGTGTTTCTACGTAGCTAGGCCGTTGCCCACGATGCAATACAGCAAAACACTTTATTTTTTAAAATTGGACGCGCGTTTTGCTAACCAGGTTAGCATCATTAGAAGATGATTAAAACTAGTGTTTTGGTGTATTGTGGTAAATTAGCGTTTTATTTCGCTGTTGTAAAGGCAAAGGTTCCTACCCAAAACAGAAATGCTGACCATAGATCTTGAGAATATGCAATCTCAATACCTAATGTTTTCTTTTTGTAGGAAAAATGTTTGCTACCATGTCCATAAAGGTGGTCGTGGCCAACGTGATACGAAATTTTCGAGTGTCGTCAAAGTATCGATCGATAGATGAGATGGAGATGAGATGTTACATGACCATGAGGACGAAACATGACATAGACTGCCATTTTACTCCAAGAGATTGACGAAATAATTTTAAAACGTTATGTTAAATATATCAAATTATAATTATAACAAATTACAATAAAGCTTTTAACTATTTTTTTAACCCAGCTGATTTTGTTTTAAGGTTTATACGGGGTGGTCTGAATTGTATTCGAGAAACTTCGGCAGAATATTCTGCAGATAAAAATAACTAAAAAAGTTTGTATAAATGATGTCCTAAAATGCTTGGTTTCGGAGATACAGGGTGTAGAAGTTTCATTTTTATTTCGATTTTTTCCTGAACTAGCGTCGATATTTGTATGAAAATTGCTAGCTGGTTTGCAACCCTTTTGCAAACCTTTTCGTAGGTACCTGTCTAAAATTACCGAGTAAAATATATACATTTACGATATTTTCGCGGAAAAAAATATACATTACGAAAATCGCTACGAGGAATGGTTCTCGAGATATTTGGAATCGAAGTTATCGATATCTGTCATCATTGACATAAATTAAACATGTCTAAATAGTTATTAGACTGAAACATAGACTGAAATAATAAATTTAAAAAAATACATTTGCGCCAAGTTTTATCATCATTTTTTCGAAGAAAAATTTATGATTAATTAAGTTCCTAAATTTCTCATTTCAGCCAAATAATTATCTACTTAATAAAATGTTTATTTTTTGTCAATAATGACATGTATTGACTATTTATATTCTAAATATCTTGAGAACGGTTGCTCGTTGCGGTTTTTACCAAGAGACATTTTTTACGTTAAAAATAACGGAAATGTATATTTTTCACTCAGTAGTTTTATACAGGTACGGACGAAAAGTTATTACTCTTTAAAACAATTAAAACACATGTAGGTGGCGCCCCCTACATGACGCTAATTTTTATCCAAATATCGAATATAGTTCAGAAATTATTTGGAAAAAACTGAAATAAAAATCAAAGTTCTACACCCTGTATCTTCAAAACTAAGCATTTTACGACATACATTTATACGATTTTTTTTACGATGTACTTAAACAGCCGTTAAACGGTAGCCTACTAAAATGCCGTTAATAGATATTCTGACGTCGTTCATGTCGGCGGAGAGTAATGCCTAACCTTAAGCATTTTGCAAGAGCACCTGTGGGTCAGTGGCTGAGGCTATCGCTTCGTAAGCGAATGGTCCGTGGTTCAAATCTCACGCCGACCAAGACTTTTTTATATTTTTTTTGCTTATAGCGTGATCTTATTGCATTGGTTTCACTCTTTTTAGTTGGATTGGTTTAGTTATTTGGCGGGTTGGTTAGCGTGGTTATTTGGAGGGTGTTAATTCATTGGTTAGTTGGTTATTTAGTGGGGTTGGTTGATTTTTACTAATTTATATTTGTTTTTTATATTTTTTATGAGTGTCGAGGCTAGTTGCGTTGGTTAAGTTGGTTATTTGGAGGGGTGGATAGCGTTGGTTAGTCCTTACAAAATTCCTATATTTCATAAAGCCGTCAAGTGCGCCACATCAACGACGTCATACCTATTAACGGCATTTTAGTAAGCTACAGTTTAACGGCAGTTTAAGTACAGCCTTTTTTTTATTTGTTTTTATCTGCAGAATATGCTGCCAGAGTTTCCCGAATACAATTCGGACCACCCTGTATTATGCATAATCATTTTATGTTTACTAAATCCCTCGTATAGCAACGGAAAATTCTATTTTTTCTAGCACGTTAGGTCAAGTTCATTTTTTTTGTTGCTTTTGTTATTAACAATAACCACTTTTTTGTCGCTTTCTATAAATATTTTAATGAATACACTTACGAAAAATAATAGGGAAAATGATTAGAATTTATGAATATTAATTTTTTTTATTAATTAAATCAAACACAAAGTAGTCAATAAAGTGTTGCCTCTCATCGGTTTATTATCTATCATGTTAAAATATTTGTTTCAGTTTAAAATTAACTTTCGCATAATTTGTTCTCAGAAAAATAAAGAAAACAGAGATGCGTAGTGCTCTAATATAAAATACTGGGTTTATAGTAAATGAAAATATTGAGAGAATATTAATATCAGTTACTGATGGTAAGTAAAATAACCGTATACAATATAATATATTATAGTAATTTTTATGTCAGTGTCATTTTAGTTCAATATTAAATGTTTCTTGTGTCAAGTGCCTAAGCCTATACCGGATGCATGCGTATCAAAGTGGCTGGCCCCTATAACTTTTTATTTTATCAGATAAAAAACGAGATTTAGGTATGTTAGTATATAATCATAAATTAGGATTGATTGAAATATTCAATTCTTTTCGGCCACGTCTGTTTCACCGGAAATTACTCGAACTTTTGATTTTAAATGACACCCTCGGTATTTTTTTACTTTCGATAGAAAATGACATTCTGAATAGAATGATATATCATATGTCAACTTTTGACATTTTTCTTAAAACAATATTAATTTTAAATTTCAATCTAAGAGTGCCATAGCTATGTTAAAAACACTAATGTTTAATCAAAGGAGCCCTAGGAAAAATAGCTTTGATCGTCCTAATGTTATTCGTATCTTGTCGTGGCCGGTTAAAACATGCCCAAATCGTTTTTTTTTTTAATCATATCTCAATTGTTTCAAATGGAACGAGGGTGGCTCATTAGCATATTTGGAAAAAACATTTTTTTATTTGAATAATTTTACTACACTTAGTATTTCAAGTCAAATTTTTGTTATGAATCGCATGTTGCAATTTCAAATAATCATATTCGAAAATGTCAAAACATTGTTGTCAAAACAAAAAATGTTGACATATGATATGCCATTTTATTTCAGAGTGTCATTTTCTATCAGATAAGAAAGCAACAAAACACCGCGACCGAGGGTACTATTTAAAAATCAAAAGTTGTGGTAATTTCCGGTGAAAAGGAAGTGACAGAAAATAGTTATTGAATATGTCAATACTACAATCCTAATTTATGTCATATATTAATATACAAAAAAAAAAAAAAACTGAAAAAAATAAAACAGTTATAAGGGTGAGCTACTTATGAGACGCACTCGGTATGTCCCCCATGTACCTCCTGAAACGTTAATAATATTTAGTCCGCGTTAGGTAAATTTGTTTCATTAGTTAAATATTTTATGAAGAAATAAACAGGTTACAAAGCTATTGATATTATTAAACATTTTACTTTTAGTCATTGTCTAATAATACCACAGCTTTTTCAGTACCAGCTGGTCATTTCCGCATTTCGGTGCTCTTTCTAAGTTTACTTATTGATTATAGTTATATTTTATGAATAAGAAATAAATAGTGAGGAAATGTATAAAGAGAAGAAAATATTAAACAGCTCAGCCCTCAACAACTCGTAACCGTATACCAGTGTACACCAGTGCAGACACGCACACTCACACAACCATACCTACACTAGTGTACACTGATGTAACTGCCTTCAGGCTTCATCAGTACAGTAAGGAATCAGGAAGCGATGAAACCGATCCAAAAACACAAAAAACCAGGAAGCAAACGATGCAACGAGGCACCGTGTACAGCCCAGGAGATGGAAAAAAATTGATGAAGAAGCGAAAATAAATGTTGGAAAATAAAAGGAGCAAACAGGAGCCTAAGGCCCCAATTTGCAGCCAAGCACAAGAGTCGCCCAGGATTGCGGGCTTCGTCCAGCAGCGGAGGTAGCCAACAGCAACCCGCCGCAATACCCTTAACCGTGGTACCAATATTATGAATAAAAAATAAATATACATTTCCCTCACTATTTATTTCTTATTCATGCACAGGCAAAATGACTTGGTACTACAACGGACGAAGCCCGCAATCCTGGGCGACTCTTGGCTGCAAATTGGGGCTTTAGGCTTCCGTTTGCTCCTTTTATTTTCCACATAATTATTACAAACTTCTTCATGTCTCACGGAGTTACACAGATGCCTTGTTCCCCATCGTTGCCTGTTGTGTTTTGGGATCGGTTTCATCGTTTCCTGATTCCTTACCGTTTTTTGTAGGTGTGGTTGTGTGCGTGTCTGCACTGTTGTACATTGGTGTATACGGTTATGAGTTGTTGATGGCTGAGCCGTTTAATCTTAAACTCTGTATTAACTAGATAGATCTTAGAGATGGTGTGGATTAAATTCGTTTTTGGACTAGGATTAGTTTTTATCTTAATTTTGTTATGGACGGCATGGTCGCTCTACTCAAAAGACGAATTTTTTAAATTTGCGGAAGAGTACAAAAATTCCTATACGTTCTATCCGATTGTCGGAAATTCGCTGAGTCTGAAAAACACTGGTAAGTTTTCATAATCATCATGTCAAATCATCATGAATTGCCAGGTGACACTATTAATATGAGAGCTGTCTAGGCAACAAATTAAAAAAAATGATTTTATTTATTTATTAATTAATTGTGATAGAGTAAAATATTCTAACGCTTTAAAGATTTGGCACATTTCTTTTGTTACTCGGAATGCTTAGTTGATTTTGATATAACTTTTTATGACAATTGATCGAAAAAAAACGGCACCAAAGACAGCTGAGGAATGACAAGTATTAAACCAAACCTAGCCAGTACTCTTGTTTTTTTAATGGCGCTTACAGCCAGTTGGTCTTAAAGTTGTTATTTATTTTTATATTGGGTAAAAAGTAGATTTTTAAGTGGTGCGTAGTTTAAAATTAAGTAAACTTATTTTTTAGGAAATAGATTCGTGTGTCTTAAAACGGAGGGGGTTCTATCCTTTCTTTCTATAATTAGTGTGTTAGTTTTAAAAAAATCAAAAATCAGATTTTTTTATTTAAATCAGATTATTTTGATTTTAATTCAAAACCAATATTTAAATCAAGTTTCCAAATGACTAGGACTTATTTCCAATTAAAGTCGTATCCTAAATGGCTAAATCTTTATAACTCTGCACGATACCGATAACATTAACAAAATTTTACGGCGCCTGTCATTTTAATTAATTTTTGTCATTTAACGCCTAGGTATAAAGCAGTACAAAGCACTGTTACGCCTAAGCACAAAAAGTATATTATTAAACTGATATTAAGTGTCAAAATTCAACGAGTGTACAAATTGTTGCTCGATTACTCTTT